CTTCACAGAGCCTTCTCTTCTCCAGGCTAAATAACCACAGCTTTCTCAGCCTGTCTTCATAGGAAAGGTGCTCCAGCCCTCTGATCATCTTCCTTCCCCTCCTCTGGACTTGCTCCAACAAGTCCACATCCTTCTTATGTTGAGGACACCAGAACTCCACTCAGTACTCCAGGTGGGGTCTCACGAGAACCCGGTACAAGGGGAGAATCACCTCCTTCAACCTGCTGGTCACGCTCCTTTTAATGCTGCCCAGCATACGGTTGATTTTCTGGGCTGTGAGCGCACACTGAAGCCGGCTCATGTTGAGCTTCTCATCAACCAGCATCTCCAGTCACTTCATCTCAGGGCTGCTCTCAATCCATTCTCCACTCAGCCTGGATTTGTGCTTGGGATTGCCCTGACCCAGGTGCAGGACCTTGCACTTGGCCTTGTTGAACTTTGAAGTTTGCACAAGCCCACCTCTTCAGTCTGCATTTAAACCAATGTCAGTCAGCATTTAAAATAATGCAGCCCATGACTAGGAAAGTTTTACTCTTTTGTTTGTGTGCTATTTTTTAAAGGTACGCTTCAGAGCTCAATATACTGTAAGTGCAAACATACACTTTTCTTCTTATATGCATTGTTATGCTTGTAAACTCAGGCTGTCTGATGGGAGAGAGAAGCGATCCCCTAGGACAGCATAGCATACCAGAAACTTGGGGGAATTCTTATAAATGCATTAAAATAAAACTTATAAGATGTACTGTGTTTGACATCCTAACCGTTTGTGGTGCTAACTTATAACAGTACGGAGTAATTCTGACTACTGTTGTGAACTGTGATTGATAATGCCATGTGTCAAAGGGGAGCTGATCTTATTTCAGATGGGAAAAGTAGGTGGCTTATTGCTTAGAACAAAAAACTCAAAGTTTTTTGAATTTTCTTGTGAAGCTGTAGATAGAGAGCTGCAGCTGAAAAGCTTAGTGTTTCCTCTGATCAAGCACAAGCAAAGCCAATGAATGTAAAAGCAGGTCACTCTTCGCCCATCGTATTTTTGGATGTTGTGAGGCTCCACAGGCAGGCATGGGTCCTGTGTGAGAGGGTGGTGGCTGCAGCAGACAATGAATAGAGATAAAGGGAAAACAGCCATCCACAATGTTGTGAGGAATAGAAAAAAAAACCTGCATGCATCTAATCTGTCACACTTTGAGCTATATGCAGCTTCAGAGTACTTAAAAGTCATATAGCCCAGGAAATCTGCCAAGAGGGAGAGGAAAGCCTACATGCTGTTTCATAATCCTATGACCATTTATTGCATAGGTTTAGGTTGCTAGTCTCGCAAGTTACGTCTCATATTCCCTGTTAACTCTCAAGTTGAATGGCAAGTCAAATCTCATTGTTGAGGGATCTACCTGAGACATTATCCAGCATTTGTTATTTCAACAGTGTGGGCAAGAAGCACTCCAACAGACATTCTAGATCTGAACCACATCTTTTAATGGCAACTTTTTGAAGGCATTTCAGCTTTATTACTGCAGGGAAACATCTTCAAAAGTTTCCTGATTTACTATTCTATCTTAAGAACAAAGGGAGAAATTTATAGAAGATCAAGCAGATAAAAATAGACTGAGAAGACAGCAGATGCTGTTGATTTACTGGAGAATTCAGAAACTTACATTTGGTGGCTATATTGTTCGCTGATACCACAGTTTTAGTGTTAATAACCTACATGCAAGCTGCACATATTATGAAGCTTTTTTTATTTCTAGTGTCTTGTGACATGTACAAACAACTTGATTTTGAATTCCTTGCTTTACATTTTGTCATCAGAAACACTAATGATGAGGTCTGAGATTTATTCACTTCTCAGCTCATATTCTTATTTGTCAGATGAGAGATGGGAAGGGGCCATATGTATAATATGTTTAGGTCAATGTTCTTTAAGACTTGGCACAACACAATATGAACCAAAGACAACTTGCTTGCCCTAAACTTTATTGTACAATTATTCAAGCATTCACATAATGCATCTCTTCATCTCTATAGTCAGAATTCTCAGTCTGTAGAATTATTACTTCATATTGTTTGCTACCAATAAAAGCTCAAATAGCTAAATGGCAAAATTAAGTTCTGAATATAGACCTGCCCCCTTTCTTTTTCCCTTCATTTCCCCACAGTGTTTTCCTAAGCTGTTAGGGCTTAAAAAGGCTAAATCACACTATTTCTTCTTTGTCTCTTTATTCTTTTTATGAACTGTCTGAATAGGTTAGTTAAGTACAGTGAAAACTTCATCCTCCTTCCCAGAGAGTGAGTGTTGCAGTGCTCTTTTCCCAGGAAAGGGGAGCTGAGTTTGGTCACCCATAAGGACAGATATTTCACTGAGCATATAGGGTTTCATTTGCTTGATTTCTGTTGTTCAATTTATTATTTCAGGGTATTTGTGTGTGGTTGTGTTTTCCTAACAAACTGTGTCAAATGTGTGATCATATCCTTTATCCATCTATCTCTTCCTAGTATGAACTTGCTACCTATTTTCAACCAAATTGAACTCAAGGTTTCAAGATCCTAGAGACATTAAATTTATGTTTTTCATAAAGACAGGTGATCAAATAGAGGAAAGATGGATTGCTCCATCTTGCAGAAGTGAGCTCAGTTCTCATTTGGTGCTGGAGAACTTCCCTATATTGCCAGCCAAGGTGCTTGCCCCTCTCAGAAGCTGCGAGAGAACAACACTGTCCTGTTAGTTTCAATACTAACCAGAAATATGAAGGTCATTTGAACAGGACTTCTTTTTAAATACAAAAGTGATCTTTCAATTTTCCCACACACCCCCTGCTGTTGCAAGCAAACAGTGTGACTTAAACCTTACTGCTAAGCGGAAGTCATCTCTTTTGGAGTTGAGGTGTCTGTCTGCCAGCACTTATCCATCTACTCTAACATTAAGTCTTCTTCATTTAAAGCAACAGAAGCTTTGAATGATTGGGCTGGTAAACAATTAGATCCAAAGTGCACATTCTTATGCACTTATACCCTCCTCCGTGCTGTACTGGATTGATTTTGCTTAGTGTCAAGATGAATGAAAACCAGACTTCTAATATGTATTTGTTCTACCTTTTGTAATTCTGTCCCTTCTCTTCCATTTCTTTACTGGTGGTTAGAAAAGGCACTTCTTGTCTGTGTACGATACAGTAATTTATTAGTTCTAAATTATTTTGATGTATTAAGAGGACCCTAAAGTCTATTAGACTAAGTAAATCTCTTTGGTGGAAAAAGGTGATCCTCCAGACTAAATTACCTGCAGTACCCGTTACTTGAAGATGTGAAAGTTATTTCCTTTATTGCATTTTCTCAGGAAAGTAAAATTAATCTCTCTCTCTCTCTGACCTCAGTAACATCTTTTCTCCTGAGAATAGAGGAAAAGCAGAAAGTATCTCCTCATAATTGTTTTTCTCCTCTCTTTTTCTGTCCTATTTGTGGCTGATACAGTAATATACTGACCCCATATTATATCCAGTGTCAATTCCCAGTCAAATAGAATTAACTCTTTATTTTAAAACCAACTCACAAATGATAAGTTAAGCGTTCACATAGTTTTATATCCCTGGGAGGATGAAGCTTAGCATACTTTTTGTTTAATGTGCTAAGCATCTTTTTGTTTTACCTCAGGTTTTGAGCAAATGAGAAGCTATCGTGGAATAGTAGTTGCTTTGATGCTCTAATAATCATTAATACTGGAGAAAGAAGCTCTGTCATTTCATCTTGCTAAAATGTATTTTACCTGTGATAATATTAATTAGTACTTTCTAGTAGCTGAGAGCTTCATAGTGAAATTTTGTGTAAATGAAAATGTAGCATACTGGATTAGGTACTCAACATTATTATTAAGCTGTGAGTCAGCTTGTCACATCTGAGGGGGATCTTTTTTCACTGCTGGTTTTCTATCACTCCACTCACCTGCAGTTTTGAGGAAGCATTGTTAACAGTCTGTTGACCAAGTAAGATGCTTGTGCTGCTCTCCAGCTATTCAAGGCTACAGATGCCTTTCTGATGCAGTCAGCCATAGGACACATGCTCACTAAAATTTACCGCTTTCTGCTCAGCCACAGGGAAGCTGGTTTTATGCAGACAGCTGTTTGCCTGTCCCTGAATACACAGAAATATGTTCTTTAGAATTCTATTTGTCTTCATACAGTAGCTGCATGCTCTATTTATATCCTTTTTATTTTTACTTGGCTCCATATGATCAAATATATACAGGATGTGGCCTTCATACACCACAAGATAAAGGATTCATCAGAGCATGAGGAAAACATCCTAACTACATCTTGTTAAAACAGTGTGTTTGTGTGTGCACACGCTGGTTATGTAACTGTCCTCGATGGGCAGCATTGCTGCATGCTGCTGGCCTGCCAGGCACTGCATATACATCTTTACAGTCTCTCTTCAAGTACAATATTACATCAGCTAGAGGAACAAGTTCATTAGACAAAATTAGTAATGTAACTGAAATGAAGGTGATCACAAGGGTTTCAGAGTTTGCTGATGATATTCTGAAATAAATAGCATTGGCATCTTGACACTTTTGAATTAGACCTACAGACGTAATGGTTTTGTTTCTTTTCCATGGCTCCTACAAAGCAAATGAAATTGTGAGGTATGAATCCTTATTGTAACATGCTCAGAAACAACCATAGCTGAATTAAACTGCTAGGGTTTAGTCAGTAAAACTGCATAAATTTAACCCTTACACAAAAGCTGAGAACTGGGGCACAGTCATGTCTTATAATTCCAACGACAACTTGATTGTTTGTCTTCATAATATGTATGTCAAGGTATCAGGCCAGGAATTCACATGTGTGTATGGATTAACACCACTTCCCTTTGCTTTCGTGCTCCCAGGGAAACAAAACTGTGTTATGCATTAGCAAATTGGGCGTAATTTATTCTGTAAGCAAACTGATCATGGAGTTCATGAAAGAAAGATATATGGATATTTACTTTCATGTTTTTTTCTTCCACAGAATGATATCACACCTTTGCATGTTGCATCGAAGAGGGGAAATGCAAACATGGTCAAACTCCTACTTGATCGAGGAGCTAAAATTGATGCCAAAACAAGGGTAAGCTTAAGTGTGAATGCTGTGAGTGACTGCGTGGAATTCTTGCCTCTGACCTGTTAGTTGCTGTACAGCTTAAATCATTCGTCTTCCTGGCAAGCTACCATAGCTGCACCGCATTTCTTTTTTTATAAAATGGTTGCAGTAGGATGCTAAGAACTTACATCTCTCAAAGCAGTGTATGAAACACCATGTATGGCAAAGCTCAGAACCAACAATTTTCCATGTTCTCTGCAGAACATTTCATTAGGAGCTACTTCAAGCTACTTGAGGATAGAAGTCAATGTACAGGAAAATAATAAAAGACAAGAATTCAATTCAGATATTTCAGAATTTGAATGCTAAAAACGTAACTTTGAACTGCACTGTTCAAAGTTTACCTTTTGTTATCCACAGGGCAGTTCCACAGAGCACAATGTTGCTGATGAGTTTCATGCAGCTCAGCCTCTTTCTAACTGGGTGCTCAGCTGCTGGCTCAGATTTGTCAATAAATGTGCCTGGTGTACTGACAGTTTCTATCAGATTGAGAGCTAACTCTATTCACTGAGTGACTTAGAAGCTCGATCTATGTGGTTATTTCTAATTGCAGTACCTAAAACCCAATCAAACCAGTTTATGGGTATTTTATTTGCTTACACAGTGGCAAAAAGAGAAGGAAAAGGTTCAAATATTTGGAAGTAAAGATAGAACTAGTGACACTGTGGACTGTCATGAGTCTTTGCAACAGGCTTCTGCACATATGAGGTAACCTTCAGGAGCTGTACCTAGAGCTTTTTTGACAATTATAGTTTTCGTGAATTAGCTTATCACCTAACCATCTTCCATTTTTTAGACTTCCACCAGAATCATTCTAAACAACTCAAAGGAATAACCTAAGAATGTATTTTTTTCTACAGCTATTACTGTATCCACAGGTTTCTGTTTGCTTTTCCACTGTTTCAGCAGTATCTGAGATTTCCAGCAGTGCTTGCTTGTTAGGCATAGTTGTATTTTGTTATTTCTGTGGCAAACTCAGAAACTGGGTCAATTTATTTTGTCATCTCTTCATTCTTTCCACATATTTTTCTTTAGTTGTTCTTCTGTTTTACCTTTAGAAGTCACTCATAATTTCTCTGTAAAATATTTCTCATTTCTCTAATTGGGGAACATGGAAGAGATGACTTTTCATGGATAACGTGAACAGTGGTGATGATTTCTGGGCTAAAATACCAGTCTTCTATGTGCTACATGGGGTCTGCCAGGCTGAGGGGCATGGGCCTACCATGTAGTGGGGATGGACTCATTTCGGTGGCATGGCAGATGTGCATTTGGCCAGAGCGGGGAGAAAAGGACGTGGCAAGGGATTCTGCAAGTATTTATATGGCCCACTGCAGCCAAAACATTGGGAACCAGTACTTTAAATAGTTGGACTCCAGCTTGTTCCTTTCTTTTAGTCACAAAAATCTGTGATCTGCTTAATTTTCTATACCACATTGCTCATGGGTCAGACATTAGGATAATATATATAACTAAAAATATAGGCTGGGACAGAAACAGGACCCAGGAAGAGGGCAGAAGCATTAACAGCTCCTAAGTCTGTCAGAGCTTCACAGTGAGGTGAAAGGCAATGAATGAGTGCATTTCATGAAGTGGTGGTTTGTTTTTCTGGCCTCCCCCAGAGACTGCCTGTTTCCCTAAACACCCATCCTCTCCATAAATTAGAAGGGATTTGCATAACTTCTGCTTGTGTTGTACATGTGTCACTCATCATTGCACTTCTCTGGCATTACCAGAGACATCATTTTCTGGCAGTTAGTGACTAAGTGGAAGTTTTACTCCTGGCATCACTGACTCATCCTGGCAAGGGTTTACCAGCCTGTGGTCTGGGCAGCGTGTTCCTCTGTCGAGGAGACTCACTGAACTGAGCAGACAGCTGCATGGCTGAGAAAAGGGAAGAGCATCATTGGAGCAGATCAGGGAGGATTTACAAATCAATAGGAGAAGCAGTGGAAGGCTGAAAGTAATGTGGTGCTAGATGAAAAAAGGACATTTTTTCAGGAGCGTCTGCCTAGTTCTCATATTCAATAGCAAAGATTAATTGTTGTGAGCTGTTATAACACATGTTCCTGCTAAATCTCTCTTGTTATTCCTACCCCATGCAATGTTGTTTTCCGGCAGAACAATTGAGGTATGTCAACTTTACAGGCATTTCATTTTTTTAGGCACCATTCTTTTTTTAATGCCCCAGATATGGAGTGGCCTTACAAAAACGCAGGGTTACAAAAGCTTAAGTCATATCCTTTTGCAACATCACCACCAGTACTGAATGTATTGAAAGGGAAAGGGCAGTCAAGGCTACCTTTTCTGATACATGTATCAAGTCATGCTTATCAGCTGGATGCCCAGTCATAGCCCAGCCTTGTGGTGTTCTGTGAGGGGCGGGGGGGTGTGAGTGCTAAGTGCACACACAACTTGACAAACAGGTGGGATTTGCACATGGACATAAGTGAGGCTTCTATTACCAGATTTAAAAATGTGAGAACTCTCTCTTTTCTTTTTCTTTTTAAAGAGGTTTTTAAAGAGATGAGCAGATTTGTTTTGTTTGGTTTGGTTAAAATTGTATTTGTCTTGGACATCATGGTATTACCGCAAATGTTGGTTATGGAAAACAAAATACCTCCATAGAGGTGAATAGCAAGGATTCTATACCCATACGAAAGGACAAAAATTCTTGAAAAGTGCTTCTTTCTTTTGTTCGGAGGCAGAGATTCCTAGGCCTTTATTTCTCCTGTATGAGGTCTGTATTTTACCTTTAAATGAGTATGCAGAAGATACTGGTTTGTGTTGTTGACCAAACACTAACAAGGTAAGGATTTGCTATTCTGACTTCTAGATGTGACATTTTTAGCTATTCAGCTCTCATTTTGTGCTCTTCTCTTTCAATCCATTCTCTATATGGGGTACTGGAAATATGCTCCATGTATATATCTATTTTTATTTTTCACAAACATTCTCATTTTATAGATAAATTCATCAAGCCTTTCCTGAGTATCAAATAAGTTAGACTTATTATTTCTTTTCCTTAGTCATTTCCAAGAGCATTTGCGTTTGCTGCTGGCAGATGGTCTTGGAGACTGCAGTGCTGAACTACTGCACAAAAGGTTAATGTGATGGGCTAAGTTCTTATCCTGTTTAAATCACTGTAAAAGTCATCCATGGGCTCCCAGTTTCTCTCTGTTCATTAGGACTAGGATTTGATGAGCACCACAAATATCACTGCACATCTGCAAACTGTAGCTAGGAGTTGAGATAATGTGTAAGCATATGAGGCTATTTCCAGAAATGATTTTACAACTATCTGAGACCCAGCCATGTGCTTTTTGGGTTGGTTTTGGTTTTGTTTTGTTTTGTTTTTTCTTTTAGCTCATGTTTATGTTGATTTGTTTATTTTAACCAGCTGTTTATCTGTCCTTTTTGTGTGTGAAATGTCTAGCAACTGGTACCTGGGGCTTTGTACCAAATTCTTAAGGGCACTCCTCAAAAACTGTGTGCTGCTTTTGTCCATACGTGGCAGCTTTTATTGTTCATGGTTTTAACTAACATTCTAAGACCTATTAATGTCTCATGTAACATGTTTACTGAATGCTGCCCTGATTATGTTTTCTCTATCTTCCAGAAAAGGCTTTTAAAAAAAGAGAGTTAGAGGTTTATTAAATTAGCTTGATTTGCTTTGGCTGTCTAATACTGTATATGCCAAAGTGAATTTGTGTTTGAAGCAGGCAGCAAGCAAATTTTAACCTGGATTAACAGTGTTTATAATCTTCATTCTTTTGATTTTGCAGCTAATATACAGGCCAACACTCATATCTACATGAAAACATATGGGATGTGCTTTTTAAAGGCACATCAGATCATACATAAGCTGCTCCAGAAAAGCCACATATATTAAGATATAAAATAACTGCAAGAATGATGCTGACTTGGCACTCTCCCTACACATGCAAAAAGCACTTAGAGCAAACATCATTTGTCACCCTATTGTATGGAAGGGGCGGTTTGCAGTAGTGGCAATGAAGTGAAGAATTCAGTAGACTTAGAGCATGGAGGGACCATGAGATACAGAGCCCTGCTAGGCTGAAGCACATGCACAGACACTCACTAAGCAGCGACAGGGATACTGAACCCTGGAGGCAGCAGTAATTGCTCCCTTGGGGAAGCACACCTTCTACCTCTGGCTCAGGGGATTGGAGTGCCTGTTGCCAAGGCCATTTGGCTCAGTCTGGCAAGCCCTTGCTGAATATTTGCATCACAGTAAAGTTTTTACTGAGTGTTGTTCTTAATTTCATTGCTTATAGACTAGTTTAGAAGCTGATGCTTGCTGATATGAGGATACCATGGATTTGGGGTATAGCCCAGAGGATCCCACTATGTGAGGGAAATCCTAGGTGAGCACTGACAGGGAAGGGGTAGTTGGGGAGCATGGGAAGGCTGATCTGTGCTTATACATGCTGCTCAGGGGTCCCTTAGAGCCACATGTGGTGGCAGGGAAACACACTGCAGCAGGGATGCTCAGCTGTCTGCACCATCATCTGCTAACCTCAAGCCAGTTTTGACCCCAGGAACAAGATCAGGAAGCTACACAGGTATCCAAGTCTCAACAGGGGCCAGTAACAGTGCTTAGATCTCATTTATTGGAGGGGTGTGGTATGTGTTTGAAATAAAAGCTAAAGAAAGAGTAGCATCCCCCAAGATGAGTGTGCAATACTTACTGAAGCTTGCGCCTAAGCAGAACTCCTCTTATTGTCCTCCTGGCTTTGCTAGAGCTGCTTTCAGGCTCTCTGGAGGGATAGATAATACAGATATAATTTATCATGTCAGTGCATACTTATAGAGTCCTTAATCTGCAGATTATTGTCATATCATTTGTAATGTTTTTTCTGAGCCATTGCAGGCTATCATATTAAAGCAAGTTTGCTGCCTAATACACGTACCATGTTTTATGCTTCACATGGTATGGTCCATATGAACAGTAAATAAGCAACTAGAAAGTCTCCTGACAAAATCAGTGAAGCTGTTCTGAGTTCAGAGCAGTCTCTTTTAATCTCAGATTCTCTTTTTTAAAGCAAAATCTCTCTATGATCTGTTCTTTGGGTTGCCTCTGCACATTCCTTTACACGCTTTAAGTGTCATATAGCAATTAACCAAGTCAGGTGAATAGACAGTGTCTTTTCAGAATACAAAAAAGAAAGATCTCTGCAGCTAAATGAGCTGTGTTCAAGTGTATTTTGCTCTTTACAGTGGGTGTCCTGACATCATCTTAACAATAGCTATAGATAGGCTGTCCCAACAAGCACCTACATTGCATTGTAATGTTGTGTCATGCCATGTGATATATCTGGTGGTAGTGACTGCAGTGTGGACTAGAATGAGCTCTAGCTGGCCAAGCACGACTGCCTGCTGCCTCCTCCGCTCCAGGAACCTTGTCAGGCATAGGCATGAGCTGGGGGTTGGGGGGTAGGCACCATGAGACAGGTGGGGCATTGTGCTCTGGGGAGCGCTAAAGTAATTTTTAAGGAACTAATTTAGTTTGTGAAGATGATCAAATGTGTCTAATCCTCTGTGAGCTTGGTATGTACTGCCCTTGGTATGTTGGTGAAATGAGTTGCAAGGGCATAAAATCTGGAGAATGTTCCTTAACTTACTGTTGTGTGCATGATCATCTTGAGTGTCTTTCTTTGATGTTCCTGGAGAATTACAGGAAGTAAAAAGAATGAACAACCTAATGTTCACGATCTTCATCTCCTGCCTACAGTTGTCTAGTTACCTAGCCTTGCTAGGTTTTATTTTCTTTCCTGTACCTGGGGAGGGGTGTGTGTGCGTGTTCTGCGCAGTACTTGCTATGCCCTTGCCTGTGGAAACTACTGTATGGGAAATATGCATAGCCTTTTTTAAACACTTGTGAAGCTATGGCAACACCTTTATAACTCAGCTGATAAACATACCACTTAGTATTTCTTCTCTTTCTCTTTACTTACATTTTTAGAGCAATGCATCTTTACTTTGTGTAGTACCATTTTAACAAGATGCCCTTCCCTCATGGGCTGAAATAACAGAAAGAAGCAGAAATGACAATAGCATCAGTTCCAGAGATGCTAGTAAGAACATAGTGAGCTAAACTGTGTTCATCTTGCATAAACAAATGACTCCCTGAGTCCTGATCAAGTTGAGTCTGAACAAAGTCTTTTCTTCATCTGTGTCAAAAACATATGACTTACTTCTTAATTAAGAAGTTCTTCTTAAGTGGAAGAACATGCACAAGAACAATAGAAGTTTTAAATGACACTAGCAGAAAAAGTTAAGCACAGCAATTTCTTGGGTGGCATGGTTTAAGTGAGGTGTCCCTGCCCATGGCAGGGGGTTGGAACTAGATGATCTTAAGGTCCTTTCCAACCCTAACTATTCTGTGATTCTATGATTCTGTCTGCTATCTTTCACAAGCTTATTGGGGCAGGGCAAGAAAGTAGCAGCTGGAGAGAGTAAGTCTCTCTCCTTCTCCTGGTTGCCCTCTACACTTTGCAGGCCTTAAGCTCATGTTCTAGTAAAGTGTAATAGTTCAGCAATTTTCAAGAAAGAATATTGTAAATATGAATGAAAAATATGTCTAAGAAGGTATCTTAATAGTACTTGCTATCACACAGAGATGGACAGAATGCATGTGCATGAATTGCCGAGCACAGGATGTGAGAAGGAATTTTAGATAATCCTTTTAATAAAAATGATGTGACGTACATATTTTTAGACAATACAACAGATGTGTTTTGAACAGTACAACATGTTTTTGTAAGAGTGCCGGAAGGCACTGCGAAAAGGCCCCTTCCTTTATGACTTGTATTTGGAAAACTAATAAGTATTTATCTTTCTTCTTTATTAGTTTCAACCTTTCTTATAAAAGCTCCTCTTTTGACATACTTAGTGAAAATGCACTGTTTTTCCTGTGTGACACTATCTCCTGCATATTTGTTTTGCTTGTACCACATCAAATGTTTGCTCTTACTGATTTTGAAAACATTAATTTTTCTTCATTATTTTTCTTGAAACTGTGATATCACTATTACTAACAATTACTATGTTGTACGGCATTGAAAAACTCCCTGTGACTTTACTCACAGTTACTCAAGGCATATGTGCTACCTTTCATTGTAGCATTCATGTACAATAGGTTACTTGAGCATTGTAAACAGGGTACAGGTCAAAGAATAATCAAATCAGTTTGGAATAACTCTGTTAATGATAAAAAGAGTCTTCCTCTTATTTAGAAGAATGTATTTCTAATGCGATGGTAACTATTACTAAGCAAATTCTTATGAAAGTGATATCAACAGTATGCCTTGACTCTAGACCAGTCATTCAGCTGGAATTCACACAAGTGCAGTCCACAAGACAAGAGACAGAGTTAATCCAACACACTTTTATCACCTGGGGTTATGGTTTTCTCATCTAATATACACCTGTCAAAATTAGTGTAATAAAAAAAAGTCTAAGTAGGAAACGTCGTTTTTCCTCTCAGACTGAAGGACTTTCCCTTGACTTTGATGCATACTGGCAAAAGAAAGACTCAGTTTTCTCAAAAGCGTGCAGGCGAAAAGTACCTGAAGTGCAATCTCATCTTTTTCTTCTATGTGCATTTACGACTTTACTGCATGTACAGTGAGGGCCAGAAAGTAGCCCACTGCATGAGCACCAATTTGATAGGACTATTTTACATGTTTAGAAAATCAGAGTCAAAATGTACTCTGTTCATTTGACTAAACAGGTTCAGCTGTCCAGTTGTGTAAGAGTAGCATCCTGTAAGAATTAATTAGTTCTTTAGGATATCATAGGACTTAAAAAAAACATGCACAAGATTTTACTGCTGTCTCTGAAACTAACTGATTATAATACTTGTGTCCCGCAGGATGGGTTGACCCCCCTCCATTGTGGTGCAAGAAGTGGTCATGAACAAGTTGTGGAAATGCTGCTGGATCGTGGTGCCCCTATTCTTTCCAAAACCAAGGTAACTGGTTTTTTTTTTTTCTGCTGGGATAATCCTTGTATTTTTATTTTTTTTTTAAATGTAATTCTGCATGTCTCCTATATTTAAGGATTTGACAATAACTTTGCTATTTTATAGCTATTTAAAGTAACTGTGTGGGAGATCTCCAAAGTGAATGCCGTATGTAGCGCACGTCTGCATATGTAAAATGTGTTAAATCGAGATACAGAAAAAAAGGTTTCTGTGCCAACCAAAAAGGCATGTATGGTAACCTTTCCCCTCAGAATTTCAGTAGTTGAAAATCTCTCTTATCGGTCGTGGAATAAATACATGGTGATTACAATATATCTTCAGCTTGCACCAAATTACCCTAAGGCTAGAGCAGAGACAAGAGATAAAAATAGAGTGATGTCTCTTTGCAGAGACAGCTCATATTTCCTTAGGACTTAGCCTGATTACCAGTTTCTCCAGTTTCTATCTCCCCACAGTTTATCACACAAAACTCTTCATGGAATTTCAAATCACCTCTGCCAGCATGTGCAGATTGCTTTAGACCTAAGGGTTGGCATTGAAGCATGTACTTGCCAGAGCTCTTCTGGTGGTGGTCTCTGCTGTGCTTTTATTGCTGATTTTAAATTTCAGTGCAGCAGCCTTCTGTGTAGCACCTTTACAATCCATGACTCTCCTATTCAGGGCTGACATTTGGGTTGTGCGATTTGTTGAGGTTCTTTCCCAAGATAACCTTCCACTACATGTTTTCTCTCAGTCTGTAAGCAACATATTTCCAACAACTTCTCTTGTTTCCTTATATTATTTCTTTTCTCTCTTCTGTCATCCTGTTCTATTCTGTCTCAGCACCTTTCTATATTCTGCTGTTCTCCTCCTTCTTCTTTGGATTTTTTTCCCCCTTTACTGGAGTATATTTAGCATTTGTTTGGGGAGGTTGGCACCAGCTTTCCTCTGCTCAGTGAGTCACTGGCAAGTGCTGTCATGGGTAATCTGACAGACAGGATCCACTCATCATCTGCATGTGGAGTATCCATGGACTCCCACAGCCCTGACTTGCAAACTTCACAAGCAGGGGGAGACAGCAAGGGGCCGTCTAGGAGCCTCTTGGGCACATCTCCACAGCACTGCCACTCTTAGAGCCTAGAGGTCATACTCCAGGGACTCAGGCTCTTCCGTACTCTCTGGTAGCTCAATTAATTACTTAAAGAAAAAGCAAACAAACCATAAGCCCTATTGCTTTGGTTTCCGCCATCATAAATGAGAACGTCTCCTAAGGAACTACATTTCTTTTTAGTATGGATTTTGTATTGTCAGGTGCTATCCCTAAATTTAACCTTCTCTTCAAGTGCTGTAGGTTTTTAATTTGTTCATCTTCCTGAGAAGATTCACACAGCCTGGCTCAGAGTCCACTAGCCAAAATCAGGCAGATGAGAACATGGGATAGTTGGCTGGAAATAGCCCAGGGCTGAAAGATGCACTTTGGATGTTCATCAGCAGAGGTTTATGTAAGCACCTTCAGCAAAACAGGAGCCTCTCTAAAAGAAGGAAAGTAATGTTATGTGTTAAAAAGTGAACAGAAAAAAGTTGAGAGCTTCCTGAGTTTCCTTCTGGTGTGTTAATTCTACTGTTTTCAGAAAGTAAGCTAAGAAGTAGCAATACCTCTGAATGATATAAATGAATCCATTCATTTGGCACTAAACTATGGTACTGTCCTCTGCAAAAATAAATGTCTCCGTTCTCTTCAAATTAAATCATACATTATTGGAAATAGGGCACATCTTTGAAAGAATTCAAACTCTAGTCCTGAGTGTGCCAGTGATTTTCTGTATGAGAAATGACATCTCTGTGTATCAGTGTCCATCTTTTTTTAATTACTGCTTTTTCCAGCTTGTTTAGCTCTTTCCATTTGTGGTTTTTTTTTTCCTTCCTTCCCAGAGTTAATGACACTTTCCCGGATTAAAGTCCTTTGACACAGCTACAAAATAAACTGTGTATCACTGATAATGTTGTTTACCCAGTCAGGCATTTAATACTCTATTTCATCTCCATGGTCGTCTTCTGTGTTTTTCGTTTGTTGGGGGGGGTTGTGTGTTTTGTTTTGGTCGGGTTTTTCAAGGTACCATGTGACTGTCAACGTCTTTGATTGACCTTGAACTTCTTCAACTTTTACTATTTTCTTGGCAATCTTCATGGAAACAGTAAGGTAACAGTGACTCCATTCTGAAGTACCAAATCACTTCTTACAGTCACTGGTAAATTATCTCTCACAACAAGGATATGGGACAGGAGAACATTGTTATATGTAATATTTTTATGTTAAAAATGAGAAGGCATTGGAATATTAACTGCAGAGTATCTTCTACTGCAACAGAATTAAGAGCAAGCCTGATTTAGGTCATAGCAAAAGTCAATATTCCAATGATACTTTATCTTCATGAACTTTTTCAGCATCCAGTCTCGTCTCTTGCTCTTTTGTGTAAAGTCTGGCTAGTTGCTGGACTTTTCTCATCTGTGGCAGGTTTTTGTCAAGCATCTTGCTGATTTTCCCAAATTGACATGTGGCTGCTCTGCTTCTTCCCTTCTTTTCACTTGCCAGCCTCTTTCGTGCCACTTTCTCCTAGAAGGGACTCCTATATCATCTTCCCAATTTCTTACTCCATTAATAAGTGTGTTTTTATTGGCCCTTGTGAAATATGACACTTTTCACTTGAAGGATCTTTCTTATAAAAATCAAACAGAATAGTATATGTTTACTATCACCTAAAAACCATCATCAGTTATGAACTTATCAGGAGGGCTTGGTGACTGAGAGAAATTAATCTTTTTCTATTCCACTGTTTAACTGCACTAGAAGACAGTGAAAACATTTAAAATGTTGTTGCTAGTATCAAGCTTCCATGCAGATAATTGCTGTAGTAGCCTTTGGGAATGGGAGAGAGGCTTAGCCAAGGCAACATAAATCACAAGTGAGATGCCCATGAGATGATCTTGAAAGATATAACAGTATCGAAGAATGTCTGCTTCTCAGTACTGAATGTAAATTGCTTTCAAATTCTGACAGTATTAGCCTGTTTGCTCTCAACATCCTTCTTCCTTGTCTCTTTAAAAAATTATTTCACTGTGTATATCCACCTTTATTTTGAATGTTTGTCATTACTGTTATGATATGGGTATGGGAAAGGAGAAAAAAGAAATCATCTGTTTCAGAAAGCCCGAGATCTCAGCTGGTTTTACCTTGCTACTTCGCCTTTGCTCACACGAGGGCACTACATCTGTAAGCAAAAGTTTCACTTTCTTCATGATGGCAAACGCAGTGTACTGTCAGTCATTTATAGATGTTGTATTAATTTTATCTCGTATTTTTACTTTGGAAATGTAACATATGTCGGCAGTTTGTTGATTAACTATTGTAAGCACTGCAGACACAATTCTTAGTACAGGTTTTTTTCCTAAGCATGAATCTCTCTCAGGTTTTCCCGTGATTAAACAGCTTTACCACTGCAACTGATGGGTCACATTGCAGTGGTCTCACTCAGGTATTTTTATCCCAGTTGCACTCGAAATTTTTGCTGCTGTACTGATGTTGGCTGGGAAGAATAGTCTCCACAGGTGTGTAATGCAGTAAGGCATGTGCACAACCCAAATTCAGGAAAAAACTAGTGGAGGGATGGGGGAAGGTTGGAGTGATTACTGAGCGATGCTCTGACCTACTCTCTCATGCCAGGAATATGCAGTCTACATTAGAGTGGTGAGTTTAATGCAACTTTTAAAAACAGAAAATTTCCTGGCTAGGTTATTAAAAGTCCTAAAGTACTGTTCTTCACATAATTCATCTAAGTTGAGCACTTTATCTGAGCTATGCTGGCTGAAATAAGCTACATTTAGAGCATTGCTGGTATGGTGTGACTGGTTTTTTAACGTTGAGCTGCCTACAAAGTCTAACCAAATAAGTTCCAAATTCCACAGTAAGAACCCTCGTTGTTACACTGAACATGTCAAGTTTATTTTGTGCACTCTCTGGGCTTGTAAAATTCTTCATACAACAAATGCTGTAAAAACAAAGCGAAGGAGTTTCATTTCTCTGAGCATTCTATAACCCATCAATGTTGGGTCTTTTTGTTCGCAGAATGGTTTGTCTCCGTTGCACATGGCAACACAAGGAGATCATCTAAACTGTGTTCAGCTTCTGATTCAGCACAACGTGCCTGTAGATGATGTCACTAATGACTATCTGACTGCGCTGCATGTTGCCGCCCACTGTGGCCACTATAAAGTTGCCAAGGTTCTCTTGGACAAGAAAGCTAATCCTAATGCCAAAGCACTGGTGAGTACACAGCGAGTTACTATTCACAGCTAAACATTCTTCCAAAGTTGCAGGGAGACTTATTTGAGAGTTATTTTCTGCCTGCTGATGGTTAGCGGTGAGGATATGTTGTATTGCTACAGCCCAAGAGAGGCTGCTCAAGGTTCAAAGTGTTAATAATATATCATGCAATCAGAGTAGACCTTTGCTTATGGATGATCAATAGTGATTTATGAATTTCTAGTGTAACTAGAGCTCTTTTTCCTCCTGGTAGCTTGTTATGATTCTGTCTAGATGAAGCAGCTGCAGACTTAACTGCTGTAGGTTTCGGTATGGAGAGAATTCTCATTTTCTAAATGTTTGTGAAGAGAAAATAAACAGTAACTTTTAAAACTCAGAGAATTTTTATTAGCTCTCAAAGATATGAAGCAGTCAGAAGTAGGAATGAGAAACGTAACTATTTGTGGTATTTTGTGTCAATGAAGTAATTTGGCTTTCCACTTTAGAAACAACTTCAGCAACAAAATCTGTTAGTATAATACAAACTGAATGCATTATTGCATTTTGCTCAAAATTATACTTGCAATCCATTGTTTTTAAAATATCTTTTTGATTTGTTCTTCAGTTACAAATTTAGGCTCTGACATTAACTGAGTTGACTATTGGTTTCAGACCCTGACGCTAATAACTTATTCAGTTCTTGAAATATTATGTGAGCCCCTGAAACCCTCACGAGCCAGGTGGGATTGACTTTCTTGAAAACAAGCTCCACAGATTTCCTTCTCTCAGCCCCTCTGTTTTGTGTCAGATCAACCTGTCTTCAGGTGTCTTTGGTCAAGGTATTATGATATATGGGGTTTGTTCACTATAACCAACAAGCAGGGAGGCTTGTAAGCCTGTAATATTTATTTTCACTTTCTGACATAATCAAATCATCATCAGTTTAGCTTGTCAGAGTTGCTGGCAGTGGCCTTTCATTGGTCTTGTAGCGTAGCCACAATTTTCCTTTTTCCCCTAAATCTTTTAGTGCTTCCTTCTATTCTGTCCTGATCCCCACTCAGGATGATTAACTAGAAGGAACCTGAGTGCAGTGGCTGAAGCTCAGGCTCACTCTTCCCTGAAACACATCTGAACTTAACCTGGACATTGTCCACTGCTAAGGAGAGACTTGAGAGCTGCTCACACTTAACTGGAACAGACAATTACACTGACATCACATTACAAAAACATACAATATTCTTTATAATATGGTAGGTAGAAAAGTGCTAATTCTGATCAGATCTGAGGGATTGATTGTCAGCTCTTTTCAGAAATATTCTGTAAATGTTTTTTTTGATGAATATACAGAACAGTGTTAGCGTTCAGTGCACTAATGTTATTGTACGTCCGGTGCATGCTCTGGACAGCTTGTTTTCCTGTTTTATTTGTTTCCTGTTCACACTAAATAAGATGAAATTTTTTTTAAATAAGGGGCAAAATAATTTTAATTATAGTAAACTGGCAGGTAATGAATAAAGAAAAAAAAGTAGTAAGATTAGTTTAGAAAAAGATCCTAATACTAGAGCTTCTAAAGTAAGGTGCTTTTTTTACCAACAGTTCTGAAATGTCAAGAGAAAACCAACCAAAAAGAACCCCCAACCTCCCCAGAAAAACTCCAACAAAAAACCTCAACCAGTCAACTGTGAATATGTTAAACAAAAACAAAGGTTTTGCTAGTCTTAGGTGAACTGAAAATAAATCATTATATATCGGAGTGGGATGTATTATAAGATAATATATCTCATCATTAAAACTGGCTATATGTGAAGACCTTAGATCCAGTACCTAAAGGGGGACTACAAGAAAGTTGGTGGACTTTATACAGGGGCATGTAGAGATAGGGCAAGGTGCTTTAAATTAGAAGAGAGTAGATTTAGATTAGAAATGAGGAAGAAATGTTTCACCCTGAGAGTGGTGAGACACTGGAGCAGGTTATCCCGAGAAACTGTGGCTGCCCCATCCCTGGCAATGTTCAAGGCCAGGTTGGACAGGGCTTTGAGCAACCTGGTCTAGTGGAAGGTGTCCCTGAAATCCCAAAAACGTTTCGATAACAAGTTAGAAAGGTTAATTGGTGATACTGTATAACAAACACATTAAAACCACACAAACAAAACTATGTGTATTTTCAAAACATGAGCACAGTAATACAAAGAATCTAGAATAATTCTGCAATTCAATATTGTTCCACTCATTCCATTACACTAGGAAAACTTATTTTTTTCTACATGTTAAATTAAATTAATTTTTCATCAATAAAATGAAACATATATTTGGTGCTAAATTGAAGATTGACAGGTGAGGCTGTTTTAGATATGCCATCCATACAATAGCAAAAAACCAGTATGGGGTGTAGTGGGAAGAATGTGTTTTAGTTTTGTCTTTGTTTCTCACAATCCTACTCTATTTTAATTGGCAATGATTTTTTTTCTTTCCCCTCCCCCGCCCCCAAATTTAATCTGATTTGGTCATGATGGTAATTGATGAGTGATCTCCCTCTTCTTATTTCAGCCCATGAGCTTCTTGAATTTATTTTCGTCCCCCGTCCTGTTGGGGAAGGACAGTAAGATACAATCATTTAAACTTAATCTAAGTTTTGGAAGAAATTCATGTCAGTTTTATTTTAGCTGACCTGGAGTGCCGTTGTCAGCTCTTTTCAGAAATATTCTGCAAACGTTTTTTTTGATGAATATACAGAACAGCATTAGCGTTCAGTGCACTAATGTTTTTGTACCTCCTGTGCATGCTCTCGACAGCTTGTTTTCCTGTTTTATTTGTTTCCTGTTCACACTAAATAAGGGGGGGTTGGAACTAGATGATCTTTAAGGTACCTTCCAACCAAAACCATTTTATGAATCTATGAAATATGTCTTTTTCTTTTCAGATTCTTTTTTTCTCTCTTTACATTAGAAATTTAGTGAAGTCAAAACAAATCTGTGAGTTGTTTTGTTAAAACAGAGGAATATGTTAAGATGTATTCTATACCCAATTCTGCTTTTTCGTAACATACGCAGGGTCAAAACGCATGTTCTTTCTCATTTACAGAATGGTTTCACACCTCTTCACATAGCCTGCAAGAAGAACAGAATGAAAGTAATGGAACTTCTTCTGAAGCATGGTGCATCAATTCAAGCTGTGACTGAGGTAAGAAGTTGTCTTTTCACATTTGTCTTTGTTTTTCCTACAAAATTGGTTGTGACTATATTGATTCTATTTAAATATTTCTAAAATAACATGTACCAATCAAGTCAACAATTATTTTCAACCAGGTATTACAAAATAATAAAACTGAATAATAACGTCAGTTATCCTAATAGATCATAACACCCAAACAATTTATATGCTTTGGGGAAAAAAAAAGTGAAACTTAACAGATTAAAATATTTAAAATACCTATAATTTCTCCAATTTTTGCCTGTAATTTGATGCCCTGAAATTCACCCTGTTATGGACGTCAAGGTGAAGACTGTGCTTCACTCAAGACCTCTTTTGAAAGGTGGTTTAATTCAGACTTTGTTTTGCTTTTCCATGCAGAAGTTAAATTCACCTACCATCATGGGTTATCACAAATTAGCTAGACAGAAATCAATATGCTATTACTTCAATCAACATGAGATAGTCTACACCCAGTTATTGGCACAATTTAAAGATTCATTACGCACCTATGGAAAATTTGGTTTGTCTGTGTTTACGTATATTCTACTAAGTTAGGAGGAAAGGTCACATGTATGAATGTCTGGCCACTATGGAAGAAGCCAGGTTAGAAAATAAAAAAACAACTCCATTGATCAAACAAGGTACAACTGGGAACAGTTCATCTCCCAGAAATGGAGTTTCATTTGATGCATGGGGTTTTGTTCTAATTATTCAGTAACAAACCATACAGCTCCTTTTTGACTTTCTTGAGAAAGAACATAGACAGCACTATATATGTCACATATATCCAGGCTAGTTTTTAAAACCTAGTTGTAGATGCACTTTTCAGAGTCTAATGTGAAGTCATATTAGCAAAGGAGTGAGAAGTACAAAAAGAACATTAACAGAAGAGATGCAATGCCTATCCTCTGTATTAATCAGTGTGGAAGTAGAAAAATTATATACTCAATTTTATCCCCTTAAATGCAAAGCATTAGTTAGTATTAGTATTTATGATCAAAGATGACACACGTGTGTTTCGTGCAGTCTATTATTTTAAAAGCATTTGCTAAATTATGTGACAGGTAAAAGAAATAACATACTCAGCCACTTATTCTGCCTTCCTGCTTATGTTTGCTGTTCCGTGTGAGGAAGGAACAAAAGCGTGTTTTCCTCATGTCTACCCTCATTGTACTTGTGCACATCTATGAAGACACTGCTTAAATCAGGGGATTTCTGGAGATCCACTGAGCTTTCTCCTTTTCTTGGTAGCAAAACCCCCTTCTGCAACCTCTGGCTGACTGTTGGTACAGCTGTGCAGAAGCAGGAAGAGGCTCGGTGAAGAGGCTTTAGTGTAATTCTATGTGGAGAAATATTAACTATTGATTGGATTTCTAGAGTTAAATCCTTTAGGTCATGCCCTGCTAAATGGCTGCTCCCTTTTTCGCCCTTTCCTTCTTCTTCCTTCTCTCTCTCTCTCCGATTGGTCTTTTATATCTTATATAAGGGCAGTGGTGCAGATTTGTGATGTTGATAGTGTCACAAGTTCCTGAGGGAAGGGGGAATTGTCTTTAGTCCATGTCATCTGTGTCTATACCTCCCTGGCTGGATGCCACAGTTTTGAATTTCCTTTCTCGTGGAGAAACAGTGGGGATGGAGTTCACCACTAAGTTCAGTAGACCTTTTTATTCATCCAAAAGCAACTGGATTTGGTGGGGACAATGGACGCCACATCTTTTTTGCATTCGCTTAACACTCATAGGTGTTTCCAATTCTGTGTGCCCTTTAGTTTAAGCATATGGTTATGTTTTTGAGAAGATAAGATCCTCTCAGAAGAGCAAGCACTTGGTTTTACTTACTTTGGAATAGCTTATTTTCTCACCATGGCATTCTTGTAAAGGAATGTGGAAGTAGGTATTTAAATTTGATTTTGGTTTGGTTTTCAGTCGGGCCTAACTCCAATCCATGTTGCTGCCTTCATGGGACATGTAAATATTGTATCACAGCTAATGCATCATGGAGCATCACCCAACACTACCAATGTGGTGAGTAACACGTTTTCTCTCAGCATGGCAGAACTGTGAATTGATTATAATATTTGGGAGCAGCACTGTTGTGAAGAAGCACCTAAATCTGGTGTTTATCATTCACGTCTGTAATAGTCATAGCTCCTACTGGAATCATGGGAAAGTTCAGCCTGTTGACTCCTGCTTGGGAGATGCTTGACAGGTTGAGGAAACCTCAGAAGAGGCTGATGTTCAGCTGACTCTATTCTCTTTATTTTCTGACGTGAAGAATGTGAACATACTGTAGCTCCTCATATGTGATTTTTGAGACGTGTACTTGACTGTTGAGCACTGCTTTCCCAGGACCCTGGGGGTCTACCATTTAAGGAAAGTTCTGCTGCTATCAACAGATTGCAGCAGATTGTCAGGACATATTGCTTGTGTCCATACAGCCATACAAATGTGCTTTTCTACTGGATGTGCGCTGTGTGCCCTAAGGCTCCTAGGATGTGTAAGAACTGAAGTCATTGTTAGATGGATATTCAAAAGTTGGGAAATAGGAGGAAAGTAGAAACTTGTTGATCCTTTTTAACAGTTTGTGCTCTAAAATCTCCCTTTCACCTTCCATACACAGAAGCATTTAGAAGACAAGCTTCTATTAAGGTCTGCATCTACTAATACTATTAGTTTGTATAAAAATGCAACACCATTTTTAAGTTAGCAGGTGTTTGCTAAAGGCGTACCGATGTCCAAAAATACAAAAAGCGTTTTTTCTCCTGAATTTATTCTGGTTTCCTTGGATTTGTCTTTCATAAAATCAATGAAACCTTAGATTGATGTATGCAGTAATGAATTTTTTCCTCTTGTTCACTCATCTCAGTGCTTGTTAGATACCAGATCATAGTAGGGGCATAGCGCATAGCAGGAGGAAAGCCAAATATACGTGTGTCTGTATATACAAAATTTGAAATAAATTTTTTGTTTGACTAAACTAGGCCCTACTTCAATAGAGGTCCATTTTAACACTGTGAGTAAAATGCTAGTAAACACAAAAAGTGGCCTGTCTCTTTTCAGCAAAAGACTAGTGACAGAGGCACTTTTGTTTTGGGAAGCTGACCCTGAAATAAACTGCTCTGTAGTATACTGCTTAGAGGTCAAATATTGACTTCATCTCCCATCATGCTCACAGACAACTACTGCAAAATATTCTAGTGGAGATTATTCTGAACTGGGTCACCAGTATTTTTGTATTTATGAAACATGTTGGGATTTGTTTTCTTGTAGTGTGTTTTTAATGACATTTTTTTTTTTTGCTGCTGCATGCTAGAGAGGAGAAACGGCGCTGCACATGGCTGCCAGAGCTGGCCAAACAGAGGTCGTTCGATACCTGGTACAAAATGGAGCCCAAGTGGAGGCTAAAGCTAAGGTAAGGTGATGGTCCAGGTATTATAACCCTAGATTATCTATATTTAGCAAAGAAAGGAATGTCATTCATCTTGCATGTGTCTTTCAGCAAGAGAAAGGGAGATGAAGCCAGGGACCTTGGAGTAATGACCACTGATACTTTGTTATGTATTCTTACTGTAGTCATGAGTGATCTGTATGTAAGAAAGAAGACAGGAGATATCACACTGATACCATGCCCCTTTTTTGGGGGGACGGGAGGGAGGGTGTCAGCTTTTGACATAAACAATTGCGTGTTTGAAGAGTTTTGGTTTGGGGTAGGAAGCAAGGAGGGGGAAGAACGCCTCAAATTTGCTTTTATTTCTGCAAAACTCTAAATCCTAGGCTGCTGGTGTCTCCCATCATGATTCTAAAGCATCAGCCTATGTGCATTCAAAAATAGTTATACTGCTAAAGAACACCTCCTAAAGTAAGAAAGCACAGTGAGGGGATGTAACATAGGGCTGGAAAGAAGAAACAGAGACTATAGAAACAATCGCAGCTGGGGATTATAAGGGGGGAGGAAAAAGAAATGGTCAAGGGCCACTAGAGAAACATGTAAAGTTATGGAAATAAAAAAGTTCCAGACAACAGACAAGGAAAGGAGATAACTGGGTGCAATAAATAGCAATCTCATTAGGTAGACTCAGGATTTGGCTTTGTTTTTGGTTTGTTTTTTTTTTTTTTCAAATAGTGATTAAATTAATACAGTTTCAAAGAAATATATTTTTTGTTGTGAATCTCATCTGTGACTTGGCTCACAAATAAAGTTACTGGTAAGATTATCTACTTACAAGGAACTCTGACCAATTATTTATAGCAGTTACACTTCATATCTGAAAGCAGTCTGACAACAGAAGTGAATCATGTGGTCTGTAAATCTCCAAAAACAGGCTTGAAAGTGAACAGCCCACGCTCAGAAACACAATCGTGCAAATCTTTTCTATTTAATTAGTTTGTGCAAACTGCTATTGCCTTTGATCAATTTGTTATCATAAATAACAACTAAATGCAAGTAGTAGATTATACACCAGTGCTAACATCAGCCATTAGAAATTTGTGGGAAATAGGCATAAACTGGAAACATCTAAGAACCATAAAGGGTTTCTACCAGTCAGAAAATTTCCCTGCAGAGAAGCGGCATTCACATCCTGACACTTTGATCCTGAATCCCAAAGGTGTAAAATCACTGTTGTAGGATAGACATGGGCAGAAGTCTCTAACAGAGAACACCCCAGAACTACTCTGCTGCAGGACATAAGGTAGCAGTGCTTAAAAGGTAGGAAGTTCAGCAGAGAAAAGTGGGGTCAGAAAGATATTTGAATAGATTTATGAGGAACAGGGAAAAATACTCAGAACAAGGTCACAAACAACCACAATGTTTTCACTGAAGGAAAATAAATAAACAATGAGACTCACAACAAGGCAACCCCTGTACTTAAAACTATTAGGATTACTGTGTTCTGAATGGCCAGTAAGAAAACAACAGTCAATTTCAGCACCATGCTTTTTCTTCAGTTACATCCACTGTAAAGTTATCTGCAAAATACCAAACAAATTGTTCACCAGTAAAAAAGCACAAAATATGATACTCAATGCAAGTTACTAGGCAATAATATGCTAAGCATCTCAGTATATCCCAACTAACAACAAGGTGTTAAATGTTGCTGGGAATTGTAAATGAGATCTAGATGTAAAGAATAGAGCTATGCATTCTCTGCATTTTAAGAAAGGTCTCAAATTCAACTGGAAACTCTATGCACCTTAGTGGCAAAACAAAGCAAGGCAAATACAGATTATAAAAAAAAACCTGGTCACTTTATTTACTGTTATAGGTTACTTATCTGTCTGGCATATTTTCTGGTGCATCAACAAAGCACAAGGTATCTTTATTATATGACAATAAGAAAGGCAGTGTGCAATATTCACTATTGACCTCAGTAGAATTAATGCTCTGGAATACCTGTCTGGAATATTTTCTGGTACATCAACAAAGCACAAGGTATCTTTATTATATGACAAAGACAGTGTGCAATATTAACTATTGACCTCAGTAGAATTAACGCTCATCTGCAATTTTGGAAAGTGATAGAATCAGAACAAGTATTTTTAGTCAAAATATGAGCCTCAATTTTCTCATGTAGGACTCTGTTGTTCCCTTTGTGTTTAGGATGACCAAACACCACTGCACATTTCTGCTCGACTGGGAAAAGCAGATATAGTACAGCAGCTGCTACAACAAGGAGCATCACCAAATGCAGCTACAACATCTGGCTATACACCCCTGCATCTTTCTGCTCGAGAAGGACATGAAGATGTAGCTTCTGTTCTTTTGGATCATGGTGCATCTTTATCTATCATTACCAAGGTAAGGGAGTTGCAAAAGTGATAGCTTCAGTAGTAAAATATTCCTGCAGCAAGTGCTGCTTGTGAATTAAATGCTACAAGAGTTGAATACACATGAAAATAATGTAAGAATGAGCTAAGTTTTATTAAAAGGGTACATAGCTTCATGATTTTACCTTAGAGTCTGATGTATAGCATATCCCAGTGGTCAGACATGCATTTTCTTGGAATGAAAGAAATGCAGGGCAGAAATTCCTAACAGGAATTGATAAGCTGTTACCCAGCCTTGTCCTTGGGTCTTTGGTGGTGCAAAAAAAGGAACTGACTCTTCCCTTTTTACAGTTGTTTTAATGTAGATAAGGCTTTGCCTTGCAAGGAAGGGCCTTCAGACCTGCCAGGCAGATGGTAATCTGCAGACTCGCTGCCTGTACTCAGGGCTATGTAAGGGGATGGATGAAAACAGCAGTACCCTTGTAGATCAGAGACAAACCTTACCTTGAAAGAGAATGCACAAGGCTGCTATGTAACTGCTTTCTCTTACAGAAAGGATTTACTCCTCTACATGTGGCTGCAAAATATGGGAAAATTGAGGTAGCCAATCTCCTGCTTCAGAAGAATGCATCTCCTGATGCTGCTGGAAAGGTAGGACAGAAAAAGCCACTGCCACTTGCACAGCAAGTACTTAAATGCACGTTATAGTCTAATAATATCCTTCTAGGTACTTACCATGACACTAATATACACAGCTTGGGAAAGGGTTTCATGTAATATTCCAATACCTGTTGAGGCTGTCAAAAGCCAGCAAACTCTTGACAAAAGTGACTTTTATTGTCATTAATGGACAACAAAATTATGTCCTTTTTGTACCCATTCAGGGGAATGGAGACAAACCATCTCCCTACCTTCCTGCCCAGACTATTTACAGTCTTTATCAGAGTATTCAGGCAGCTGGCTCTTCTCCCCCATGTCTCATGACACAGGGAAAAGCCCAGTAGGACCTCAAGCTTTTTAAACTAGGCCAGCTTGGATTTTCACAGATCCAAGGGGCAGTTTACTTATCCACTGCAGTAAAAGAAAAACATTACCGAGGGTATGACCTCAGGGTCAAAATTCCTTACCTGCTCTGTCCTGAGGTCTGCACAGATACGTGCTTCTCTGTTCATCTTCACTAGGAAAAATGAAAAGGGCTTTCACTGCTCAGTAAGATTTTCAAATCTCTGTTTGTTTTTTGATTCTAAAGTTATCAAAGACATTGAGTGTATGAATGAATAACAAATGTGTTTTTTCACCTTATCTCCTCTGATTCTCCAAGCTTTTAAGTTTTCCCTGGAGAGGGTCTGTAACAGCACTTGTTTGTTCTGCATGTGTTTTTAGAGCGGTTTAACACCACTGCATGTAGCTGCACACTACGATAATCAAAAAGTGGCACTCCTACTGTTGGACCAGGGAGCTTCACCTCATGCATCTGCCAAGGTACAAGTACTGGCCACTCTGGGGGAGCAATACTTAAGCTTTTTGTCTCAATCTATTCCCTGTCTACTTGTGTTCTTTCTAGGCTGTATATGCTTGCAATTACAGGGAGCTCAGTGACATTGTTTATTAATGTCTTACAACCACATAAAGCTGCTAGAATAATTCTGCATCTGAATAAAACAGCAGTAAAAAAGCAAACATGGGTGTAGAAATATTTAAAATCTTTAGTTTAAGTAAAGTTCAGTCTAGGCGAATAATGTGTCTTGCTTTCACTTGTCTGGTCTCTTTTGTACCTTCTCCCAGACAGCCAACTGAATATTGTTGCATCTTAACATCTCTGCAGGGCAAGCTTGTAGTTAATGCCTTGCTACAGGGGTGTAGTTCTGTATTATGCCACAGGATGACTTCTGAGGCATGATACGTTTCTCAGTACAATGTACATAATTATTAATGTGCTTCACAATACTTCTACCACAGTGTAAATGCACTGGTGAGAGAATAAAACAAGTAGTCTCAGCCCTGCAAATTACTGTAGGCAAGACAACACATAGTGTAAGATTTCAGGGAGTCTGAAAGAATAAATTGGTAGTTGGACGGCAGCAACAGTAAAACAGGATGGAAGTGTATATGGATTCAGATGGGGTAAATACAGTGTAAATGCCTCATCTGAAACAACCCAGACACATTCCTAAAATCACTACCAAAAAAAAAACCAACAAAAAAAAAATTAGAAAAATGAGAGCTACTGGAAAAGCTAGTATTGTAGATAGACGTGTCCCCTTGATTGCCTTCCTCTCACACATGACTGAATACAGCCATAACACTAGAGGCCTTCTGCATGGCTAAAAAAAGAGGATGGAGCCTGTCGTACGTGGTAGGTCCAGAGTTTATAGTGTGAAGGAAAGGAAAGTTAAATAAACATGGATAGCCAGCAGCAATGGCAGAGTTTAAAATCAATAATGTCAATAGTGGCAATCTGGAGAGCAGTGCCCCAGGAAGGGGAGTGATCTCTGATCTTTCACTACTGCAACACAGCACTCTTGAATGCCACTGTGGGGAAGAAAAGGCCTTCTGAAGGCCTGACTGACCCAGTTTTCACTGAAAGAAACCGTCAGTGGAAGCTGTGCATCCTGTAAGGGCAGGGATTGCAGCAGCCACTGCCCCAGGGCTGTCCAAACCAAGGTGGAAGCACTACAGGCTACGGAATAATATTGCACAAACTCATGTGTCACCTTAGCTTCCCTATCTGTAACAGAACAGTTTTGCAGCTGCCACTTCAGGCCTTCAAGTGCCAGCTGTAACTTTTCCTAAAATGAAGCATTTGTTAGTATTTTGCAGCAAGTGATCCACAGCGCACCGAGTGTCAATACTAAATGAAATTAACGGTAGTGTGTTTGTTGCCTTGGGCACCCACTGTGCAGTCATCTGAAAAATGATGTTGGTAACAGCAGATGATTTCCCATTTCTTTTGTAAATGTGGTCTAATAAATAAATGTGTTACATCGTATCTCATTATTGGCTCCACAGTTAGTTTCATCAGCAGTTGCTTTTTCTGTGACGCTCCTGTCTTTAACACTGATCTTAAGAGTGGCTCGTTAGCCTGGCCTGGCAGCATTTGCCTTGAAGAATGATCAGTGAAAGGGTATGGGAAGTGGTCATGTCACAGTACAGCAGTGTGATACAGTTATTCTGGTGAACCATTCTTCCTTTTAGAGGCCAAAATTAGGCTTCTGCCTAATTTTTATCTGGCATCCACTTTACAATGCTTTTCTTCTGCTCTCCTCCACCCCCTCAAAGCCTCAGTTTTTCTCTATCCCTTTATCTTTAGCCATTTTCCTTTTTCCCCTTTTACTCACTGGTAGCCAGAATAACCCAATATCCTTCCTTCTGAACTTCTCTGTTCCCTTCTGCATCTATGCATAGTGGCAAAGTACTTATGAGGAGAAAATGCAGTCTGAGACTGAGCTGAATTTCAAGTTTTATTTCTCAGCTCTTTTTTTGCCTTCTCTTGGCAACCTGCTGCTTTCCATTCCACTGAAAGCGATGTATGCCTGTTTCTGAGGAAAAGGCTTGAAATCTGCATTTGTCATTTTACAAAATATACATGAGCTTCATTTAAAATACACACAGTTTAGCGTACATGGACAATTCGGCAAGTAGTTTTTAGGATGTAGTAAGTGTCCGTGTGGCAATGGCTGATTTTCATGTCAGTCTTGCGCAGGAAGTCTAACGGGAGGATTGTGTTTGTTTTTCCTGAAGCATTTTATCTTCAAAGTAATAATTCAGTGGTCATATACTTCCCTTATTGGTCATGGCATTGTGTTTCCTGGGTATCATTTTGAAGTATCTTAGTATCTAAGGTCTGAACTGAATCTGAATTTAATTTTGAAGATTACACAAACTTTTCCATGTGGAGTTAGTGCTGTGCATTTCTCACTTCTAGATTGCTATTAAAGCTCTCTTGTAATTATTTGATGCCTCTATGTATTTATTCTTTGGTCCTACCTGCATTGCCTTGCATCTGTTGTGACCTGCCTTCTCGTATAGTCCAGTCCTGCTGTCCCATGAGGCACAGGGAGGAGCCATGCCAGGTGAATGCTTTGTGCCTTTAGATAGGTTTTAGTGGGCTGTGTAATCTGAGATGCACATGGTACTTATGATACCGTATAAAATGGCTTATGCTTACAATCTCATTCCCTCCCTCCCAGACCTTCTTCCTTAGTCACATGGATACATTTGCTATTTGCTTTAAAATGAAGGCTAATACATTTCTGAAAGTCAGAAAGTTATTGGTTAGATGAGCATCCCAATCTGTACCAAAAGCTGGGCTTACCTTAGTCCTTGTTTTGGTATCTTGCATTAATCAGTTGTTTATATTTATATCCATTTATCTATTTTCTGCCAAATCTATCCTTTTTTAGAATAATAAAATGCATTCATTTTTATTTTTAGTAGTGGGCTCACTGGGTACACATCTTAGAATAAACTAATAAGAATGCAAGACTCTAAAGTTATATGCTTTAATTTTCCCTTGTTCTGAATGAAAACAGCCTGTCAGTAAGGTCAGGGTAAATTCTGCAAGAAAGGCTATATTTTATGTACATAATACTTTCATTCACGCTGGGAAATGGGAAAAAACCCAAACAACAACAGCTGTTCTGTGTTATGAACACACATCCTGCTCTTCTGTTTGTCAAAGATTTTATGTACATTTAAGGAAAAGTAGCAAATGTCTTGCGCTCTTCTGAATAGATATTTTTTCCCAAATTTGAAAGGTTCTTTCAGAATGCTCCTATTTGTATCAATACTTTCAAAACCAAATTGCTTAAAGCTCTGATACATTAATTTGTACAAATAGTTATATTGTATTTGACTATGTTTGACAGGATTTTTAGAACTAATGACTTACTTTCATAGTGTTGGGTAGGTACAGGAAAGTGATTTATCACATTGCTCAATGAGTAGCTTGCAACAAAGTGCTTTCTATTGACAGAATGGCTATACGCCACTGCATATAGCTGCCAAGAAAAACCAGATGGACATAGCAACTACACTGCTGGAATATGGTGCTGATGCCAATGCTGTAACCAGACAGGGTATCGCCCCTGTACATCTTGCCTCTCAAGATGGCCACGTGGACATGGTGTCATTGCTTCTTACTAGAAATGCTAATGTAAATCTTGGCAACAAGGTAAGTGTTCCCCTGCTTGGTTCTAAGGCAATAAACAGACATGGTGATGAGAAGGATAGTGGCCTGCAATTAAATCTTGTCCACTGTGATTTGAGACAGTTTGAAAGCCACTGCAGGTATTTGAATACACATCATCATTTCTTCTAGCAAAGAGAGTAGCATGCAGCATGCCACATCACATTGAATGAAATGTATTTCATAGTACCTGGGTTTTGATGATAGCACATGCTTTCTTCGGCATTATGCTAGTCTACCAAAACATGATCAGAGAGAAAATGTCTTCCTCTCCCCAGCAGTTAGTGGGGTTGGCACATGTCATTTATGAGTCTCTAGGTATATGCCTGCGCATGAAACAGTGGTAACAACTAACTGATTTTTTTAATGGAATAATAATAGCAACTTTGTCTGAGATTTTGTTCATTAATATAAGTGATTCTTTCTGCCCAGGGGGTGTTCCTTAGAGCACCCCCTTTCTCCTGGGAGCAGAAAAGGGAAGTTGATAGATTTTAGTTTCTATATGTATGAATTTATAGGCTAGTAAGTCTGCTCTATAGCAATGTTTCTGGCAAATGTGCAGCCTTCATTCTTTAAATGGTCCACTAGACATCAGAGATGCTGTAAAGTGTGGTTACAGCATGGATTTATGTGACTGAAGTAGAAAGGCAAGAGACAAATTTTTCATGGAATATATTTCTTATTCTCAGCAGGTAGAAAAACGCTGTGTCCTCAGAGGCCATGGGTGATGCTGCAAAGGGCTGCTGTGTTTTCCTGTTTCTGACTTTATAGTTTGGTTATTTTGGGGCCCTCCTTCAGGAAGCCTCTCTGGCAGATGTTGATCTTTCTCTCAAGTCTCAATCAAGTCTGTGGGCTTATTCAGTGCAGGATGGACTCTGTATTCCCACAGGGCAACTTGCCATGTACATAATTTGCGTCACATTGGCTATCACAGTTTTGCTGCTGATGCTAATAGAGAGACCATGATTACAGCTGCTTGGCATTTTGGTTCAGTTCCTCCAGAGGTTAATTACCTGCAACATCCTTCAATCTGTTACCATGCAGTTGTAATCTCTAGTTTCTCATTATGCTGATAACACCACTTTTTGAAAATAGTTCCTCCTGTACTCACTGAGGGGTGCCTATTTCCTTCAAGCTCAGCACCTACAATTGAAGCCAGATATTTAAAGCACACTAACTTTGAATTTTGCAATAGGAATAAAAAGAGCATTTGCTTTCTTCAGGATCCACAGAATGGTTGGGAGCTGTATGCTCAGAGCTCCAGGGTGGGCGCTGAGCATTTGTTAAATCTTTTTAGAAGGCTTGGTCCATAATATCCAGGCTCCACCTGCTCTTCTGTCACTGCTGCCAGAGGCAGTAGGAACAGGAGAGAAAAAGAGCTGTGATTTGCAAGTAAAGGATATTCTTTCCCATTCCTAACAACATTGTGTCAGCAGATTCTCTCTTCTACCCTTTTACCTCAAGTCTTTTATGTGACAGAAAGTTGAATAGCTTTCTGAAGTTTCAAGGATTTCAGATCTGAAGTTTCAGATAAGAAAAATAAGCTATCCAAAAAGTAAGTGTGTCAGTACACACCATCTAGCAAGTCTTTATACTTCCTGGGCAGAGACAAATGGACCTGCTCTTACAAAAATGTAGTTTTATCTTTTCTATTTTAGTTTGAAAACAATCAAGTAGAGGACTAAAAGGTAATGATAAATCTGAGGTGAATGCTACTTCTAGAAAACTTGTAGAGGTGTAAACAATAATTCAATGTTTATTTTAAAATAAAAAGTGCATTAGTCAGGAGGTAAAAGCATACTATATGACTTTTTTCTGAAAGTGCTATAATTTGCTATCCCACAGTTAACACTGCATGAAGAAACACTCCTCGTGTAAAGGAAACAATTTCTTACTGGCTTTCAAATTGCATTTTCTTGCAAATCAACCCATGTTATTAGGAAGTACGTTATACAGTGAAAGAGGAATTTATAATTTCTTTAAATTCAGTGGGATGTTTTGAGTCTTACTGATACCTGAATTTGCATATTAGTATTCATGTGCCTCCTCTGAAGATTATTACTTGTTGCTTCTAATTTCCAGAGTGGACTGACGCCACTCCACCTGGCTGCTCAAGAGGATAGGGTCAATGTAGCAGAGGTTCTTGTTAATCAAGGAGCTGCTGTTGATGCACAGACCAAGGTAAGAACTCCACTGCCAACATGTACTATTTCCTTTCAGGGAGGCATCAGCCTATACACTAGGAATAATAATGAATTTCAGAGTGAAGCTGAAATAACAGCAGAGAAGCATCCCCTATAAAAAATATCATAGAATATATTCTGAAAACTGAAGATATGTAGGCTTGAGTGTTTAGGTTATACTCAGTCTTGGAGCAGTAAGCTTATTTCTTGCCAAATATTTAGATCAATATAGATTTAGATTGTATCCTACTATTGTGTTTCACTGAAGGTAATTGTGATTGAACTGTTTTTTTATGTAAGGACACTTTCAGAAAAGCTTGATCTCCGTCTGCAGAGAGTCATATATCTTCTACCGTATGCATGCTCTCATCTGCTTTTGTTATTTTTTAAATGTTGCATGTACTTTCCATTCAGCTGACAGTAGAAACAAAACACAGGAGAACTGTTACTTATAACATCTTTATTTACAGCAAGGGAAACAATGTAAATGCAGCGTAGGCATTCCTGGCTAGAAAGTGGCTAATACTTTTTCCAGTGACTTAAGAGACTTTGTGAAATGAAGTTGTCTCCTCTCTATGAGATGATATTAAATAGCCATCCATAGACACGATCCTGCAAGTAAACCCATTGTTCATCTGTAAAGATTACCCCCTACTCCTACAGCTTGGCTCAGCCTTTATGGCTGGATGCCTCTGAATTTCTAAGCCTCTTTGTTTTGCCAAACATAGTGAGGCGACCTATTTCATCACACGGGTACATTCTAGGGAACTGACATTTTCTGTTGTCCCAAGTTCATACTAGACCATTGTTCTCCTGATGGTAAACATTAACTTATTAGGTTGTCAGTATATATTGCTCTACTCTACCTTCAAAAATAATATTAGAGATGAAACATTTAACTCTTGAGGACAAATTTGAAATTATTTATCACAGTTATCTAATACGAAATACATATATGCAATGACAGTCTGTTTCAAATATACTTATCTGAAAATAGCTCTGCCTAAAGTAAATATTTGGACTTTAAATAAAAGACCTGGTTTTCCAAGGTGTTTCAGGATGGCTTTTGAGACCCCAAGCAATGACACCTTCCACTCTGCACTATTGGTTTTAAGAGTGATGTCATGAGTAAATTCCAAAAGCCCATGTACAAATGGGTTTATGCACACTAATGGTTTATACAGTGCTCCAAATTTAATGATGATGATCTCAGTATTGAGATCATACAATACATTCTTCGTGCATTGTCTCAGGGTCATTCCTTTAGCTGGGTAAGAAATCAGTTGTAGCCAAATACTTGGATTGTAGATGATCAAATCAGCTAAATTAACCAATTCTCACAATTGACCTGCACACTTTTTGCAGGGTAGCAGCTTTCACAGCTGTTACGTGTATGCCACAAGTCACCTGCTGTGCTTGCATTCCATAAACGTGCAGGTGTGTCAGACTGTCCAGCAATATTGTCATTCTATCATCACACTGACATCTCAGAAAGATCTTAATCCATCATCATCTCTGGCTGCAGCTCCACTGATTACAATATGTGGCAGAGGGAAAAGTCACTGTTACGTGATTTTTCTACTGTGTAATTCCATCTGTACCAGCTACTGATTTCAGTGCCCTTATTCTGACATGAAACTGAAATAGCTCTCCTGAAATCCAAGGACCTTTTCCAGTTTTACACTTTTGCAACATATCCTCAGCCAATATTTTACAGATGAATCAGTCTGGGTTCTTATCATTTATTAAATCACCCAGCAGTAGACGAGGTCTGCCCTGTTGCATTCTTTGCATGATTTCCTCAGATGTGTGTGGTTGCTTTTCTGGAGATAGTTCCTACCTGGTTTTGGTTTCTGTAGCAAGACATTGCTCTTTTAACTTGGTCAGAGCTGAATTGCCTCCTAGCCTGTACAACTTGCCTATGAGTGTTTGCCTTTCTCCCACTCTTCTCTGTCCCACAAATAGTAAGTCGTCTAAGGAGACATTTACACTGACAGGTGCAGGCAGTCACATGTTCCCTTTGCCTGCTCTCCAGTGTCCAAATAGGATCCAGTTCTGGACTGGTGGCCTTTTAGTCACATTAGCATGGTGGAAACATCTGAGATACTTTCACAGCTAAGAGGCAGGGCATGTTTGCTGGGTCCCAGGGCCCGCCTGGTGCAGTTGCACAAGATGTGTACTGATCTTTAAGCCTGGCAGAGTGGCAATGTGGTGGAGCACACACATGACTCTAGAGACACACAGAAAAGGGGCTTCAGTTTGTAATTCACAGGTCTCCTCTGGTGGGAGCTAAATTTCTTAATTGCATCTCTGACGGTTGAACTAGTCGGTAGGTAAAACCATGCACAAGGAAAAAAGCAGCCATGTTTGACTGTCTGCAGCATGAATCATGTCATCAGTAATAATCATATAATTTTAAAGAAGCCAGCAGTAAGTCCCATGTTGTTCACCCTCATTCCTCAGTTAAATATGGAACTAGTGAAAGTAAAGAATAGTTTCCCAGTACATATTTGCTTCCATGGGACTGCCCTATAGTTGTCAGGAAGTGGGGCAGGGACTCTTAGGTCAGAGAGAGTCATGGTGTATTTAAGCAGAAGTACTTTGTAGCGTGATAAACCACCTGTCTGGGAAAGTGTGCATTATTAATCCTGTAGATAGGCCTTTGTGGTGAAGAACACGCGCAATGGCTTGTTCGCCTGCTTACCATGCCAGTTTGCCCTCTGCTGTAGAGGACTGTGTGCTCCTTAGGAAAAAAGTGCCTATATGCCTTGCAAGATTCTGTTAGAGTGGAGTGAGCTTCATGCTTATTCTCTGGCTTCTGCAGAGTCCCATCTGCTGGGTTTGTGCAGCAGTGAGCCCTCCAGGCTCCACGTAGTCAGATACATAGAGGTTTTCTGCCAGATACCCACTCACTACTGCCTGTGATAGAAAAAAAGTGCCAAATGAAGTACCATGTATTCAGGATGGAATAGTTTCTAGATAAACTGATGATCATCTTGAGTTCCTAGGGTAAGAGCTGGCAAGCTCCAAACTTCTACAATGGAGGAAAAGTGTAATGCTGTAAGAACTACCATACCCTGACTTCATGTTCTATACAGGTGAAGTTTAGTTGATTGGCTTGTAAAATAGCAGCTCTGTAGTTACAAGCTCTCTTGTTTAGATAGATTAACTGTTCTATGAGAATAAAAGGTCTGCATGCTGTCTCTAAAACCACAGGCCTTGGGGAGCAAGATACAGCAACAGCTGACGGCTTTAAAAGCACTGTTGCTACGCTTGCATGTTTGCATGATACTGTCCAGGATGTCCAGTTCAGATTCATTACTTTGGACATACAGTGGCAGAGATGTGGCCATCTGTGCCTTAAAGGTCAGTAAATCTGTGTAGCTTAGAGTGGCATTATAACGGGGATGTCCCCTGCCAGCAGCATCACCACTAACCTTCTATTTTCTTCTCTTCATGTCACATCCATACACTTTTGTCACCTCAATTATTGTGGTCTAGATGACTATTCATTAGTCTTTTTTGTTGTCATTGTTGCTTCTTCTTTGTTTACATTCTCTCCTTATCACATTTCTCTTTTCCCCAAGTTAGGGCTCATTGGTTATATCACTCCAGCACAGTATCTGTCAATAGAGGGAGAACACTTAGCATCTTAGCAGGTCAATCAACTTCTTGAGTAGGAACCAAAGAGCTATCATATTCCCTTCTCGTACATGTTCTTTAATCATCATTTATATATAACTTACACTCCCTATGAAAATATCTAGAGTTTGCAATTCTGACATATGGGAGTTCTTGCTCCCTCTCAGCTTCTAAGGGCCATATACAAAATTGGTTTTTTTCAGGTGATTAGAGAAGATTGGACAGAAACAAGTTTTGTATCTCAATGCTATTGCATGGAAGAAAAAGATGCAATACTACAGAAAATCTCTTGTACGGGAGATTAGTCTGTATGATTAAGATCAATTCTGGCTCTAAAAATCATGAACATTTTGAAAATTGCTCTCAGACCTGAGCTGTCTGTGGTTCTTTCTTGAGGGAGTTTCCCTCCCAAGCCATTGCAAATTTTTTACTGGACTTTGTTGTAGAAGAAGGCATGAAAGGAAGAATATTTGCTGGATTTGAAGTCCATTTATTGATGGTGTTATGGGATCCTCCTGGTTCTGCTGCATCAATTAACTAAATAGCCTCTAATCCCAGAGCAGCAGGAGTCTGTCTCAGCACTGAAGAGTAAACAACAGTGATTTAGTGTGCCAGAAGTAGTGCTCGAGGGGCCACAATGCTGCTCCTGACGCTTGAAGATGAGATTTTGATATGTGGTTTTAAGCTTAGCCACATTAGACAGAGCTCCAGTTAATAAGCTAGAGAAAAGACCTTATCTTAATATGCAAGAAGCAAATAATAAAATGGTAGAAAAATAGCAACACTAAAATGTACTTCAGGTGGTGCAGCTTCAGAGGTGCTTCAAAACTCTTCACATTTAGAAAGCTTTAAAAACTGAATGTAGTCTTCACAGAAGGCATGTTAGTGTCCTCCTGCAAAGGCAGCAGGTTTTGTCCATTCTGACATTACACTGCTGTTTCTGAATGTAGGTATGTTAAAGAGTTTTCAATACTGAAACTCTGTGTTATACAATGTCATACTTAACACAAGGAATGTTCATCTTATACACAGTATTGGGAGTTAAAAAATCAATCTGAAGCCATGGCTGCAAGCAGGTAATCCTTCTCTGGTGGTCATGTTGAGTGTTTAAAGGTTATACTGGTGCACGTGATGTTGCTTTTGTTGCAGGGCTTTTGTGCTAGGGGTTGGCATGGGTAAATATTGTTTCATGGCTCAGCAGGTCTCCACATGTCATTTTTCAACTATTTATCATATTGGATAGTGTTATTGTAGGATACAGTGTTACCGCAATGGACTGGCAAAGGAAACCTGATGAGAGAAGAGTGCTGGTTCATTCAAGGATGAAGAGCAGGGTTTGGAGCTTTGATCTCAGTGCGGGTCATTTTAATCAGACAGTTACTACAGTGCATTTGGTGTTGGGCTTCTGCTGGGGAAACTGATGGTCTCACAGTCCCTGGTTGATGACTGTCTGGAAAATAAATCCAGTATTAAACTGTCTTTTGTTCCTAAAACTGTAGTGTTGGTGGGAGATAATGGTGGCTGAGAGGTCATGATGTTCTTTTGCAGGTTGAGCTGGGCTTTTTATTTCAGGTTTATTCAGGGAGATTTATTCAGGTCTGCCTGCCTTGTTCTGACAGGAGCCCCATTACATACCAGCCTGAGTGCTGCAATGGTTCGTAACAGCAATCCAATTTTTCCATTGTAATATCTAATTTTCAGATGAAGAAAGAGATAGAAAGGAGGTTGGGAGGGTGGAAAGAAGTATCGAGAAGAATCACTTTCATACAAAACACTCATATACAGATACCTTCAGTATATCTTCATGGTACATTCTCTCTCTCCTTGGCTCTTGGTATATGCTCAGTTGTTACCAAGACATTTGCATGGAGATTTCCAGCCTAATAATGTGCAATAATGAACCTTGCAAAGTACCGCAACATGTTAGGCCTTGATTCAGCAAAGCAGTGAAGTCTGTATAGAAGTGCACATAGATTTGCCTGTTTCATTCTATCAAGGCTGGATGCCTTTGTGATCTCTGGATCTAGAGCATTTTCTAGCTTTATCAACAATAATACTGTAGCTTCATTGTCTGACATTTACAGCAGAGAAACAAAAACAGAGCAGCTTGAGAGTCAGCATGACTAGAAAGATGCAGTAATTCAAGCTGTTAAGATTTATGGTTATTGCCAGTGGAAGATATTAAAGTCATTCACTGATATGATATACAAGACTTGTGATAATTTCCCTCAAAAAAAGGACTTTAAGGGCAAGAGAATAAGGGATGCTTTGTCTTTGTGTGTTCCATTAGAACTGAAAAGCTCAGGATTTCTGATTTTTTTTTTTTTTGGCACTTATTCTTTTGGCTTTTGATAAGCCCTTCCCAGCTGCTAACTCCCATATTGCTGCTCATTCTTTAAAACAGCTAGAAACAGCATGGCAGCTGACTGCCAGAAGGTGATGCATGTTAGAGCTGTGTTAAAGAAAAGCCCTGATTTTCTTGGAAGCAATTTCTTTAATACTAAGATGCCTAATAAGTCCCTTGGCATTTTGCCAGTAAATATAACTGAAACTAAACTGCTTTGCAGAAATGTGTATAATTGTGGGGTTGGGGGGTGGGGTTGGGTCTGGATTTGGTTGGTCTTGTTTTGTTTAAATTATTAGTGGTTTTCTAAGCAAAATATTTCTATATTTTAATTATGTAGAGCTTGAAAGTGGCAGGCTCAAGTATCCATGAGAATTACCACTTTTATAGTTTATTCAGTTGTGTAATTGCAGAATCTGCCAGTTGGAGAGTTAACAGGGTATCTATTTTCCATGAGGATGTTGGGATACGTATATATAAATGTTATACCTTCCTGAGCTAGAAACAGTTGAACACTGGAATCTGTACTGTAGCTGAGAAGCAAAGGATATCCTTTCTGGGTCTTGGGCATTAAAAGGACATTTTGCTAATTAATTTTATTTTGACCGATGTCTTCATTACAAACTATAAACATGAACGATGTCCTCTGGTGGCTGATGAGGTCTAACATGCCCACTGAGATGTGACCCGCCATGTCAGATCTCCGTCACTCTGCTGTCAGTGACTGTGTGCTGCATTAGGCACTGCCTCATCAAACACAACATGACATGACATGACCACAGGGTATGGCAAACTTAAAAGAAAGCTCTTGGGCCCCTCCAGGGAGCTCAGACAAGAAACTGGTATTTTGCCACAAGGCTAGCAGGTGTCCATATCGCTACTCAGGACTCAAGTAGTGCCTGTAGCAGAGAAGCTGCCGTTCAGTGCATGTTCCTCCATTTGCCATATCTGATCAGGCCAGCAGCACCAAAAGCTTGGGAGGGAGCCTCCTTCAGCTTCAGCTCTGGGACACAAAGAGCTCTAACAGGGAGGATAGTGACCATATCACTATAGAAATCTATGGTTTCAAACATACATTTGGATGGGAAGGAGGAAAATTTTTTTGTTAGTCTATGATTTAAACAGCAGGCTGGTCAGGAGGGACAAAGAGCATCAGTAATTTTTCCTGTAGCCATTTATGAAGGTACCACATGTAAATCTCTGTATATACAAATTGTAGAAGGAAATTGATGTTGTACTGCACTAAGTGCCGGGCATTTGATAGCTCCTTCTTCAATATTCATTGTTACAAGCTAGGGAAAGGAGCCTTTACAGATCACTTCAAAGCAAAGATTGATATCAGCTGTTACTGGTTCCCCATTACTCTCCAGATTTTAATGTTTTAGGGTTATTATCAGGGGGTTCCCAGCAGGTGGCCCTTGACTTTGGATTTCTTCTCACCAGTTGGTTTTATGTTGTTGGATTTCCGTTGACCTTGCAGGTCATGTTAAGAGGCCTGTATTTTGAAGGAGGAGAAGGGGATTAAGTTCTTCTATGAGGAGGTTTCACAGCAGGGTGTTTGGGTTTTTTTTCCCCACTTATTGTTTTGATAGCTTGGCCATGTTTCAATTTAAATTTATTTTTGGACATGTAGGAGCAGGGCCGTAAAAGCTGTGTTCAAGGTGAGTACACTCAGCATTCTGCTGAAGACTCAAGACTCTGGCCAGCTTAGGGAACTCCATAAAATTCAGACCCCGGGCACTGCTAGGAAGCTATTAGGCCAACCCTAAACTAACAGTAACTGTAAGATGAGGTCCCAGTGTTCAGTTAATGATGATTACATTTTAGCTAGTTCTTAGGCTCTTACCACTATGTACAAGTATTCCATGGGAAAAGTTCCTCGTAGTCATTTGAAATCTGATACAATGATCACATAAGTCAATGGAAAGTTTCGTTCTGCTGATGCCAATGGAATTTGGATCCGGTGCTGTTTCTGGCACTGATTAACTCGTCCTGGTTGTCAAAGCTGATAGTTTCTTTAGATGGCAAATGGTGTATAGTCAACTGAATAAAAAATACACACCCTAATTTAAAGTAACTGGCACAGCTACCATATTCTAGCACATATTAAATCAATTGAAATTAGGTAACCTTGTGTGAAGTAGTATCTGAGGCAACAAGACATGAAGAAAATGGTATGTCTAAACCCATGGACACTTCAAACTTCCCACTAGTGGAAATAATTCACATTTGAGGTTTTCTCTTTCTGCCTTTCCCTCTGTCTTTCTAGCAGCTTTGACCTCACAGTTTAAGCATGTGGTGTAGTGTTGGTGTCTACACCCTGGGCTGACCTTGGACTTGTACAAAGGAAGGATGATAGGCAGCTTCTAACTCTCTCTGTGTTGTCAAGCATTGGAAAAGGCTGCCCAGGAAACTGGTGGAATCACCATCCCTGAACTATTTAAAAGAGGTGTAGATGTGGCACTTAGTGACATGTTTAGTGGTGAACATGGCAGTGCCAATTTAAGGGTTGGACTTCATCTTGAAGGTCTCTTCCAACCTAACTGATTCTATGATTCTATGAAAAAAGTGAGCTCTGTCCCAGAGAACTGATAGTCTGGCCATTAGACAGGAGGGGAAATTTTTAATCAACATTGCATGAGTTGAAGATTACAGAAATACAGGGCATTCAGAGAGGTTCACTAAGAACGGGACTTGAAGGCACATTCATGAGAAGTGTGGGGTTTTTCCAAGGTTGGAGGATTTTTTGCATAGGCTGAAGAAATAAAACTTAGCAGGATTTTTGCTGTTTCATATCTGGGGTTTTTTTTGTTTTTTTTTTGTTATGGGATGTGTAGGATATTCACATGTTCTAATTGCTTATGTTCATTCTAGATGGGATACACGCCTTTGCATGTTGGCTGCCACTACGGAAACATAAAAATTGTTAACTTCCTTCTTCAACATTCTGCAAAAGTTAATGCCAAAACGAAGGTGAGTTTTCCGCCTGTGCCTCACTCGTTATGTGGAGGCAGCTTGTGCGCTGTGCTCACTGCAGCCTTTCCCTTTCCCTGCGTCCGCAGAACGGGTACACGCCGCTGCACCAGGCTGCGCAGCAGGGGCACACCCACATCATCAATGTCCTGCTCCAGAACGGCGCGTCGCCCAACGAGCTCACTGTGGTAAGTGCAGAGGGGCCACCGGGAGGCCGCCGCTTCCCCCTCGGGCTCAGTTGTCCCACCTCGCATAAGGCATTTGAGCAAGGGGAATGTGACAAACGTGACTGGTGGGAGACGAAAAGAGCAGAGAAAGCCTATTCCCATCACCCCCACACCCTCTATGCCATCATCTCTTCCAAATTATAACAGCAAACATCTGAAAATCTTTCCATTTTCATCCATTTCTGTTAAGACTTAAAAACTTCGTTATATATCCTACTACCCAAAACATATTTTTCAGTCACCAACATGCTAACATTTATTTGGCCTTTATTGTGCATTCTTCTACAGTTAATTAGCAGTTTCTACACTCTTCCTTACTAACATTCAACTTTTGCTATAAATGTTTCAATTTCTAGAATGGAAACACTGCCCTTGCCATCGCAAAGCGACTTGGCTACATTTCAGTCGTTGACACATTGAAGGTGGTGACAGAAGAGACCATGACTACAATTGTAAGTACAGCTTTATTCAGTAGTGAATGGAAGAATTTTTCCTAAGCCAGTGTTTTCAGCTTTGTTTAGTTACATGTCTACTGAGATTCCAGTAATTTCCATCTATTTCCTTTTAGCAGTATAAAGTGGACATTAAGTCAAATATGAGCAATATATTTTTAACGTAGTAGACACTATTAGGATGTATGCAGAAAGAGTATCAACCGAGCAAAAAATGAACAGTGTTAATGACTGGTCATAGCTGTCATGTTTTTCCACACAGCTTGTTGTTTAAGACATAAACCACATGAATATGAGCCAGTTTATGGTTGAAAAGACATTCCTACACATTTGTGTAAATAGACGTTGCTTCTGCCTTTTCAGAGGGTTTGCCAAGGGACCGTCGTATAATGGTTTTTATTTGGACTGAGAGGACCTATTCCAATCTAAGAAGTGGTTGGAATTGACTTTAAAGCAACTCATTGCGTAGTTTCTGGCATCTTCAGAAAGATGGTGAAAGGATGTCTTCTACATGCAGCCACAGTCAGCTCCTGCAACCCCAGATATCTATTTGCTGACAGATACATGAACTCCAGCTCGTCTGTCTTACCTCTGAGGGAGGCTTTTTGCAGTGTTAGCTGGGAGAGATTAAAGGGGCTAGCAGTGATCAGTTATTACTGGCTATCAGAAAAATGACGATTCACAGAATCCGAAATATTTCTCAGTTCTTTTGTTCACTAACATTTTGACAAATTGCTCTATGAAGAAAACAGTTTTCTCAGGTGAGGAGCCTCCATGTACCACCACAGTAGTAAAGCCAAAATTGGGTCTTAAGACTCTACATTTAGAGCATTTGCTCCAAATCTGCCTTTTCCTTTCTGCAACTTTTTTTTTCTGATTAAAAAGAAAAAGATAAGTATGTGCACTTACGTATTTTTAGGCATATGAGAGACAGATACATATATAAAAAAATATATATATATACGGGTAGCATAAATTTGACTGATTGCCTAGTATACAACTAGGTAGCTGCAGGAAAAGTAAAACCACATTGTTATGCTAAGAACTGTAAATATCATGAGGTTATTCTTAGCTTGTAGAACCAAGAACCTGGGGGAGTTTGTGCTGCATAAGGTGACTGATCATTTATGTTCTGCTGATGAAGAAGAGTAGGGAGATGGTGGGTCAGGCTGTGAAATATCCGAGAAGAAATGTTAGATACTGAAAGCCCTGTACTACCCAAATACCTGTTCTCAAGAGAAGCCTGGAAATAATTTCCACTAAAATCAGAATATTCTGCTTATCAGTCACAAGTGTGTAATTGTCAGACTTTGGATGCCTAGAATGAAAACTGATTTATATATTTTATTTAATGGTCTTAGAAATTCAGTTTGAATGCTGAGTCTTATTTTTTGAGGCTTGTGGCTAAACAACTCCCAAAGGTAAATTTAATGAAACCAGGGATGAATGTAGCTAATTTTATTATAATTTATGCTCAAACACCAATTAAAAAAATCCAGGAGTGCCTGAAAAAAAAAATCCTAGGATTTTGCTAATTTAATGGCAATTTGTTAAAAATCTTTGCAAGTAATTCCCACAAAATGAAACAAGTGTGAGGCTTTTCACAAGTTTTGTGATGTTTGAGCATGCAGGATCTATTCTGCGTATACCAAGTGATGGCAGTAGCCCCAGAAACAAAAACTGCCAAATGACTGTTCATAAGGCCAGAGAAAAACTGAAATATTTAAAATACATGAAAATGGAAAAGCTATGTTATCCTCCTGAACTTCTTAATCATTTCTTATTTGTATATGAAGGCTGAGAAACAATGGTGTTTAAAAATAATATAAAATATATTTAAACATATAAATATAATAGAAACCTCCTCTAAAGATAGGAGTGTTTTCTGGTGCAAGGTTTGTTCTTAGTTTGTTTATGTTTTATTTGGGTTTTTTTTAATTGCCCTGCACTCCTTGAATGGTAACTCTGCAGGGTGTGACCTAAAACTTCACCAGTGCTTGTTGTGCTGTGCACCAGCTGGAGAGTAAAATGTGCACGAGTGTGTCGTCCATGGGATACACAGGTACTCTAGGAACAGGTTTCAGGCATTCATAACATTTTTTTTCTGCTTTTTTTTTTTTTAATATTGGTTTCTGAGTCTGAATTAGTATAAACATTAGGATGAAAATCTACCACCCAGTTCTGAGTGTCTTTCACACATGCATTCGTTAAGGGGTATCATTTAGCTGCATGTGTTTACAATTGTTCTCATTTGTGGGAAAAACACATAATTCATGCTGAGGCACCTCTGAAAAAAATCACACAGCCTGCTCTCCTTACTTCTAATGACACAGGACTTCTCTCAGAAAGTTTAGTTTAAATAGGGATTACATATTCCCACTCAAAATTTTGATAACTATTTAAAGAGTTCTTATTAAACCCCTTAACAAGAAACTCTTTTCAGTGTATTTGTTTCTTCCGTTGATATAGTCATCTTCTGGGCTTTCAGCTCATGTTTTTTCTGTAATGAAAATGTGAAAATATTTTAAAACACAAATAATATTGCCTATTTCTGTAGTCTTTTTAAATATATAGTTCAATGCATCTATAAAAAGGAAAGTTAGTAAGAAGACAAAAAAAGAAATCTTGATTTGCTAACTGCAGATAAAAATATGTCCTACCTTGCATTTACTTTTTAAAATAACTAAGTTTTAAGAAAAAATATACCTGTACTCTGAAATTATTGTTTTGTCTTTGACAGACTGTTACAGAAAAGCACAAAATGAATGTACCCGAAACGATGAATGAAGTTCTTGATATGTCTGATGACGAAGGTATTAAAAAATTTAAAACCCCTCTTCCTTATTTTAGAGTCTTTTGCTGTTGTAAGAAATGCTTGTTTAAAAAAACAGCCACCAAACAGTACTAATTGGATATGGTCTTTGCACAATTGTTATTGTTTTACGTTGATTGTTTTGTTGACACATTGATAGTCTATGCTTTTATTTAATTATTTTGTTTATTTAAATCATACAGTTCGTAAAGCCAATGCCCCTGAAATACTCAGTGATGCTGAATATTTGTCAGATGTTGAAGAAGGTATTTGTGCATTTTTGTATTGCAGTGATACTTAACCCTCTTCCTTTTACTTCATCTGAGAATTAATCCTTTCAGATCATTCTCTTATTATCTCACTAACAATAATTTCTGCTTAACAATTAAGAATACCGTCAAAAATTCTTTGAGCTATTGCAGATAATCCTCTAATGTTTTCTGAATTTCTTACTCCCAAATTTTTAATCAACTTACCTTCACTTTCCTGGAATAGTCCTTTTGCTGCTGCTTCTGTAAATTAGAGAATTGTTTTATTATTGTAAATGAATAAATAAATATTGGACAAAAGGGTCAGCTATCAAAACACTTTTGGAGAAACAGCTGGTAGTGAAAGTGAATGGCAGAAGGAATGAGGGTGTTTATTGGGTTTTTTTGAATTCTTATGTGAATTTAGCTCTGAAACAGTTGATTTACATTGATAGTGGACCCTCAGCCTGGAAATAAGTATTTTTCAGAGATATTTTTATGGTTTTCTTTTTAGTGGGGTTTTTTTTAATAATATTTCAGTCATGACATTCAGTAAAAATACATCAGATAACTTTTGTCCTGAATAAGGAGGGTGCTGCATTGGACTCAACGTGTTGGTGTTTGTAATCTTAAGGAAGTACCCTGAAGCTGAGATTTCATCTGTATCATCCTGCAGAGTGACATGAAATCTGTGAGTGGCAATAAAGCCCTCTGTTTTCAGTGTTTCCAAATAAGTCTCCTGAGCTATGGGCACTAGCAACCTGCCTGACCCAGCTCACTCCTCAGTGCTGAGCAAGTTTGATATGGCTTCAGTGGTCCTCAAGTATTTAAAACTCCTCTGGCAACTGCTTCCTCCTGTCTACCAACAAGCCCTGCTAAGACCTCCCTGGTTTGAATGTGCAGGAGTCTGTGAGAATTTCTCCAGGAACTGCAGGTTTCCAGAGGCCAAAGCAGGATTAGGTTCCCAGGTGACATTCAGAAACAGGAAGGCCTTGAGTTGATGAAGAAGACAGTGCCCTGAAGGCATTTTTATGAGTCCCCATTCACTTGCATTAAAGCTGCAGGTTTTTTCTTCACTAGTAGGAAAACAAGTGATGGGGTTCAATTTTCTTGTGCTTCTTTAGTTAATCTCTCTTTCATAAGGTCTAGTGATATATTTGCTTTTAATTTTTATAGCATTTAAGCAGTAAGGTGTAAAAGATATTTAGTAAGTTTATTGTGTGCAGCTCTTGTTTAATTCATGAATTGAGGCTTTTGGTTTGTTTTCAGCTTGTCATTCTGTTCCCATTGCTGCAGTTCCAAATGGATACTATTCTTACCATACACCTGTGTTTTCCAAACAACACTCTTAAGCTATTGTACTGCTCAAATATGTAGTGTATTGTTTTTACTGGCTGAAACACTGACGCATAATCGTGTTAGTTAATAGAACAGTAGCTATTGCTGTATCCCACTGCACAGCATGTGGTGAGGTACAAATGAGGAACACTTCTATGTGAAATCTGAATATTAGAACAAAAGTTGTGAAATGTGTCTTTTAATGTATGAGATAATTTTTAAGGCCAAATCTGTGGAAGGCTTTTATAGTCACTGACTCTCAGTTTTACAAATAAAAATCCAACCAAACAACAAAAACCCAACAAACCAACAACAAAAGCCAACCAAAAAAAAAACCCAAACAAAACCAAAAATTAGGAATGCAGGTAATGCAATCAATTCCTTACCTAGAGACTGTGTTCTGCACCCATGTTGTTACTAGTGGAGCTAAGAGACTAGTTTATATGTAACAAGGTTATTTTCGAACCTAAGACTGCAAGGAAGCTCTGAAATCAAATAATAGGTATTGTATTAATCTGTGCTGAAGTATTTCAGTGTGCAAGACATGTAATGAAATACAGGCTCTTGAGGTAATAATCACTGACCTGTCTCTCTTTCCTAACTTGCACATCTGTAAACACAATATACCAACACCCATCCCCACAACACCTCAATATTGATAGGATATTTATATACAATGCATCCACTTTCACCAGTCGAAATAAATATGCAGTGCACTCTTAACAAGTCTTACAGCCAGGGAGCTAGTTTCCAAGTGAGAGAAGGGCACAAATTTACCACCCAAATCCGAGTTCTCCCTCACTTGGCTAATGTTTGTGTCATCAGCAAAACTCTTCAGTGAGAGAAACTTTTTTAATGATTTCTCAATATGCCACAATCCTCAAGGTTTCTCTCGTAAGAGAAATTTAAGGCTTGGAAAGTAGACTCTCAGTCAGGAAACTGTTTCCTTGTGTTTATGTCTTGCTGCACCCACTAAATAAGTATTTATGTGGAAGTTGTGTAATTTCTTTTCCCTGCAAGAAGTTTGGTTTGGAGTCAGACTGGGTGAGAGGAGAGATATTTTCTTCCTTTTCCTAGACTACTCTGGCAAATCTGCCCAAAAGACGTTGAGTGTTGGGAAACCACAAAAAAGAAATGGCGTTTTTTTTAAGACATGAATACGATTTTGTGGGAAAAAAATGAAGGCTCATCTTCATATGTAGTAGAAAGTTTGTAGAAGAATATAGAGGAATTACAATGCACACTGAACATGTCCTTTGCTTTTATTTTTAAAGAGATTGCAAATCTCTCAAATGTGAAACCTGAGACTGCAGGAACTGGGTCTTTCCTCTTTACTGTCTCCAGATGCGAGCTCGCACCCCCACCCTGTGCAGTTGGGAGCCCTACCGGTGCACCCTGTGGCCATGGGGCTGGTGGAGAGTGGGGCATCAGCCATTCTAAAGCACAGCCTGATCAGTCCGCTGAAGGTCTGGAGGGAAACCTCTCCTTTGCTGTCACATGCTGAGCCTTGGAGCATCCCTCTGAGTGGATGCAAGAGCTTTAATCTGGTGGAGGAAGCTGGAACTCTGCTGCAACTGCAACAACCCAGCAATGAGCTGTCACAACAGCCCTCCTCAAAACTGCTGCTGCTGTCCTGGAGGCCAAGGGACAGCAAGCAATGGAATCTGATACAAAGAGGGGTGAGACTACGTGAGCAGCAAAGGGAAAAAAAATCCAGACAAAAAACCAGTTCAGGTGTAGAGAATTTAGTCAAGAATTGGGGGTTGGAACTAGATGATTTTTAAGGTCGCTTTCAACCCAAACCATTCCATTTTAAAGGTCTTTTCCAACTTAGTTGATTCTATGATTCTATGAGAAACACTTATTGTTGAGCTTTTAATTTTTTTTTTTTTTTTTTCATTTGGTCTTCATAAGATAAACTTTCTGGTGTAAATAAGGACATTGGTTTAAGCCTATTTAATGGAGATTTCTCTTTTAGGAGGAGTAAGTATCATGCTAATCAATCCCTGGTAGGTTAGACAGATGTCCTAACAGAACATGCATGCACACTGCCTGATGCCTGTGTAGGTGCTGAGATGTAGCAGTTTCAATGCCTTTAATATGGATCAGGGCATCCCCATGCTTGAAAGTCTGTTACTGATGATTTTGGGAGGGGCTAATTTTTTACATTTTTAGGGTCAGTTTTCTGAGTTTCATTGTGTCCATAAAATTTCACAGATTGATGAAAGTTTCAGCTGTCTGATACTGGCTTTTCTTCATACTTGTGTGAAACCAAAACCTTGGCTACAACTGGAAGTGTCTTGCTCTTCCCTGTGGCTGTACCTCTTCTGCCATCAGGCAGCTCTGGTCAGGCTGTGATGAGGGAGTGGCAAAAGCTTCAGAGAGCTTTAGCAAAGCCAATGACATGCCTATTTGTATCCCAGGCTATGATTAAATTTTGCCTGGGACTTTTCCCAAGCCACACGACGCCTTCTCTCCTGCTGCCAGAGAGGCTGTATTCCTCACTGGCCTCTAAAAAGAGCACCTATCCTGCACTCCTGCAATTGCCAGCTGTGGGAGGCATGCTGAGGGACCAGAAAAATGGTGAAAACATGGAAAGAGGTGACAAAGGTGATGACAGGTGTGGAAAAGCTTCTTAGAGAGAAAACAGTAAAGAGAGTAGGACTCTCTGTTCTAGGGGGGGAAATGGCAAAAGATGAATGAGGGATAGGCTAGAATGTATGAAACAGTGGGTGGCAAAGTGAGCAGTGACGCACACGCAGCTCCTCCAGAAGTCTAAGAATAAGGGACATCAGTGAAACCAGCAAGAGGCAAAACAGCTCTGCTCCTCCTGCAACAGGTAGTTGAATTGTGTGACTCCCTGGGAACACAAAAGGTTTAGAAGAGTTCAAAGTGTAACTGGAAGAATTTTAAAAGGAGGAAAATAAAAAAACACAAAAACCTGTTCATGAGTTTAAAAACCTCTTGCAGGTTTAGAAGATACATGCTTACATCACTGCCAGCTAGAAAAATGTCCCAGAGGACTTCCACTGCTTCATGCCCTTGTATTCTCTGAAGTGTGGTTGCTGTCAGAGACCGGGTATATCAGAACTGATGGGCCTTTGCTTTGACCTCCTGCTGCTATTCTTTCCTGGATTTTGAACAGTTTCTGATACTCATGATAGCTCTGTTTGCCCAGTGTTAACAGGAACATCATCTTTCTTCAACACATAACGTATTATGAAGGGAAGGATGGCAACCGCAGCAAAGCAATGCAGTGTTCTCTTTCTTTGGTGTTTTTTTTTTCCTTGGTGCTTCACTTTTGGGGGCATTTCTCTGTCATTTGTGTTCAGTGATTAATTTTGTCTTCACTTTTCCATGGGACCTCTCTCTGCAGGAATCCAGTGTGCTGTGAGCAAACACTGTGCTCTTACCTGAACGGCAGAGGATTAGGCTGTGGCACCTAATTAAACAGAGCGGGATTGCTGAAACGTGCACCACCCATTTTGCTCCAGCCTCCCACGATCACAGAACAATGTTTGGAATTCTTTGAAATTACCACTCCTAGATGCAGCTTTTCCTTTGATGAGAGCATTTCATCAGAGTAATCCTGCTCTGGCTGGATTAGCTGCAGAGCAGGATAACATCTAATGCATTTTGCAGCTCAACCAGAGTGGTTTTTTATCATTCTTCACCTTGCC